GAAAATAGGTAAGTTTCTACTTAACTTCTCCAGATTGTTTACAATTTCAGAATCTTCTATTAAGTTCTTTCTCCTTCAAGAAGGTAATTTCATACATGCATCCTTCTTCTGAGGAGGCTCAGGGGCAGGACCAGGGAAAACCTTACAGACACAGCATTGCAAATGTAGACTTAAAGCATACTTCAGCAGTGGTGTAACAGCATTCTTTTCCCAGGATTCACCGGCTTTCAACTACTGTATAAGGAAATTATTCTAACAGAACCTCAAAAATCCCTAAAAATCTCAAATCTTAGGGGCAATCCAGCTCACAGCCCATACTAGCTCTACATTAAATTAGGATTTCCAAGTCTAACATTCATCTGCAAACAATTTTACTTGCTATGACCCAGCTTACTCCAGAAACATGAAGTACTTCTGCACATTTTCAGGTGGCCTTCACTTCTTATGCCATGAGTAGTTTAGTACCACTGAACTCTCCTTGCCGTTCATCACTTGTTCTGTTCAATATAACCACAGGCAATTAAGAAAGAGCTCCAGCACAAAACACAATGGGACTTAACTCTGAAAAGTTATTTATTCATATAGGAACTTTCCTAAAAAAAAAAGAGTCCAGAGTGAATAACCAACCAACACCATTCTATGGAAGCCTGCTTTATGAGCCTTTCATGATGCCCTTTACAAATGCCTTTTGAAAAATTAAACCAGGAATATTTATTTGGGATAAAGTCTTCTCCAAATCAGACTCCCTTAAATCACTGACAAACGTGAAGCATGATTTTCCTTTATGAAAGTCTTACTGACTCTTACCATTAGTCTATTATCTATCCTCCACAATTCTGTCATTTTAGTAGTCTGCAGCTGGCCAAGCATCATCACCACCTCTTTTGAAAGTCATTATCAAGGAAACAGCCTACACTCTTCCGATGCTGCCCCTCCTTAGCAGCACAAGTAACAACCGCACCACAGATCAGTCTCACTAGTTACACCAGAAAATTTTTACTGACAGTTCGATTCTCCTATCTTTAAAGGAAAGGATCTTTAATAGAGACTTCAAACATCCACTACACCAGTAGCAGATTACAATGGCTACCTCAGCTATGTTATTCATGTCATTTGGGAGGCACTGATTAGCATAGCATCATACCTTCCCAATTATTGGGTTTAATAGTTTGGTAACTCCCCCACATCATTACTAGGAGACTGACTATTTGCATGCTTATAATCCATCATTATTTCATTAAATAAAATAAAAAACAACCTTTTAGAACATTATGAGTAAGAATTAACTCCCACAAACAATTGCATATTTATCTCTTATCACAGAAGAAATCTCAAGATTATTGTAGAAATCAGGGAACAAAAAGGACACTACAGAGAAGCTGAACAACTCCTCAGAGATAGGGCACTTCAGGTAATTTCTAAGATTTCCTCACCCAAAAAAGTGGAAGATACATGTCTGAATGAACTACGGAGCAACAAGTCACTGCTACAAAGGGATATACCTGCAGACTTTTTGTATTTAATTACCTCAAGTCACACAAGAGTAAATGGCTAAACTGGTCTCTGTAAGAGTAATGCCTCATACCTGAAGAGGTACTAGGACTTGGCTCCCTCATAACAGGACGAAATATTCACAGGCTAGCCCTTCCTCAAGGGAAACACATTTGCAATTAAAGCAGCAAACCCTATTTTATGCAACAATATGTGAAATTCACTAAACAAAAAAAAAGTCAAAGGATTAATTATTTACAGGCATGATACTATCCACAGTTATATTAGGCATGAAACAAACAGCAGACAATACCTTACACTGTGACACTGGGCCAACACCAATAGTTATTACAAGACACTAAGCATTTCTGAAAAACAAAAACTATTTGGCAAGTAAGCCGTGAAAGTATGACAACCACCCCATGGCTTTCCTCTAAAGCACTCGTAAGAACTACTACCATGCCCTGTCCAGACAGGGATGATTTAATTCCATACAGCCAAAGCTTAAAAATAATTTTAAGATGAGACATAGTTTATAATCTGGGTTCTCAGGTGGAGAGGAAAAGAAAAAAAAAAAATCAAAGCTGCTTAAACAGAAACATACTCTGAAAGCAAGCTTACAACTCTGCTTTAAATACAGAAAATAAAAGAGCTGCCTAAGCTTACTAGAAGTAAACATGAAATGCACATAACCAAACTTCAATGTTATCAACAAGCATTTTCAAGTTACCACATGTACATGTTTATTTTAGATTGCGTCTGCACCATTCACTTCAAATGTTGTACGAGCTGAAGACTGATTTTAAGTGGCAAGAAACGCAGCAGCATTCCTGTGCTAATTCTTCTTTATGGATGCCTTTCTCTTTCCATAAAGGGGGAGCCAGGAAGCTTTCAAACACTTCCTCCATGCCTTCTGTGAGACTGCGAAGTGAAAGAGAAGAGCCTGAAGTTGCTCAGCTCCTCTCTCTCAGGCAACATCACACCTGTAAGCACCATCAGAGCTCCTGGGGAAGAGCACTACTCTGAGAAAAAGCCCCTGTAGAAGAGTGGAAGTAAGGCTTAAGAAACAAAACAGACCTGGAAGTCAGGACAGCAAAAGAAACAAGCTCTAGCACTACCTTACTGTAGTACTGACAAACTAGAACTACTACCAATGCTGCAATTGCTATTAGTTCCCTAATCACATCACAGCTAGTTTTAAGTCAGCTTGTTCAAGTACTGCCAAGCATGCAGGCACACAAATTGATGTGGCTTAGAAACTATTTGCTCAGCTTCTTGAGCAGACTTCACAGCTTACACTGAACTCCGTGAGGCCACACTAGTTTGGGCAGCTCTGTAAGCTCGGTTTGCTGTTATGTGGGCATCTCGTTCAGACTGTCGATAACCTGTCTCACATGTTACATACACACAAGTCACTGACTCCGAAGTAATTCTCATGATCTCCAAATGAGTTTCCCATTTCATAACTGCTAATTCTCCACAGAGTGTTTGTAAAAATACTTAGTCTTAATATATGAGTATAGTTCCCTCACATCTGTTCCAAGCGATTAAATCACTACATGCTTGTAAAGTCTTATTATTCCCCCCCCCCATTTTTAAAATGCCCATAGCACCCCTAGTAATTTCAAGTATTCTGGCAGTGCCAAAGTAGGCAAAAGCTGCTTCAATCAAAGAGCTTTTAGCACTACAAGCTATACTACTATGCTAAAATACTCTGAAACATGTCAAACAACTGAAGGATTCAATCCGTACTACGTAGACATTAGTATTCCAGAAAGAGTGGGACATGAAAAAGTCAAAGCTAGCTAGAAAAAGTAGTAAGACATTAAGTGTCAAGAAGTATCAATACATGAAGTGACAAGGCAACAAGTAAAAGTTTGTGATTAACACTTCAGAAACTGTGACTAGCCACTACACAGCACCAGGTAAACCTTCTGAAGGCTTTAGAAAGCAAGTAAATTTCCGTATCAGCTTCACTGTAGTTTTATGCCTCTCTTTTTCCTTGCCTAAGCACTCAGGTTTTGCCCACTGCTTAACTAAAAAAAAAAACAAAACAAAAACAAAACCAAAAACAAACAAAAAACCCAACAACCTCCAAAAAACCCAGGTTGTCTAAAATATGATCTCCAGAAAAGGTCTTCTATATTTCAGTTAAAAAAAACTTCAGAAGTGACTGCTACTGTGAACTTGTTTGCTACTAGTAAAAATAATCACTTAACTGTTCTAATATTAGTCATTTATTTTTAGCAGAGAGAAAGAGGAGTGCTAGAATGACTTACTAGGATGCATACCATAAGCATGCAGTAAGCAACAAATCACCATTAAGAACCACTAAGTCTTAAAATCTGGGTACTACCCAAAGCAAGTAAAAGAAAACAGCTCTGAAGCACCTGCTGAAACGCGCCAGCTACATAAAGAGTACACAGGCTTACACATACTGTTTGTTTTGAGCTCAGCTTCCTGAAACCAAAATGCTGACCTCTCAGCCACAAAGTTACTGAAACTAGCCTAACAAATTCCGATATAACTGGAGAAATTCGTGCCTGCCACAGATTACCACTGTGCTGCATAGACCTCCTCTGCTTGTGGACTACCAAACTGGCACAAAATGCCTCAATTCTGTTAAGGCTGGAGCTCCATTACTCTCACACTGAAAAGTTCATGAAAAGGGGAGTCTGGTGTTTTGTTGTGGAGGTGGGGGCGGGGTTGTTTCTTTCCATAAAGAGTTAGCATTACCAAATATACAGTGATTGGGCAGAAACACAGTTAAAGTGAGCTCTTTCTTTAAAGTTACCTCACAAACACTAAAGGTCCTTTGCGCCATTAGGTCTCAAAGAGCTGAAGCAGCCCAAAATAATAACTGAGTCAAAGCAGCCCAGCACATAAAAGTTGAGACAAGTCTTCCAAAGGACGTACGGAGTCAGGATACTTTAATCCACCAGACATCTTCGGCTGCACCTCAGACTGCTCGGTGAACTAGCCTTCACCCGGTCCCCACGCTAAAACTGACGCTCCGACCGAAAACGAAGTACCTACGGAGGTCAACTTCGCCACGCCAAACCCCCGCCGACCTTCCAACCCTCCCGAGCGCGGCGACACGGGCAGGAGGCTACTGCGGTGACCGGCACACCGACCCCGAAGCCGGACCCCCTCCGTACGGCAGGCGGGGGGGGGAGGACAGCCCTCCCCCCCCTCCCCCACACACCCAAGCCCCCCATTCCAGCCGCTCGCAGGCCCCCTCAGGGCGCGGGTTAACAGCCCGCCTCCGCCGGCGGAGCCGCCGCCCGCCTGTGGCGGGAGGGACGGGGAGGACGGAGCGGCTGCGCCCTGCCGAGCCCCGCAGCCGGAGCTCGCCCCGGAGTTACCGCGGCGGACGGGGAGGAAGGAGAACGGCGGCCCCCGGGGTGGGGGGGGGTTGGCGAGCGGCTGGCTGGCTCCCTCGCTCCTTCCCGCCCTCGCCCGGCCGGGGGCGACACCAAGCCTTCCCGGCCCCCCACAGGAGCGAGGGGGGCTCGCCCGGCCTGCTCGGCGGGCCCCAGACAAAGGAAGGAAACGGGGACGAAGCGGGACGAGGAGGCCGGCGGCAGCCCCGGTTCGTTCCCTCCCGCCCCGGGCGAGCGCGGCCGCCGCATCCTCCTTCGCTCGGTCGGAGCCAACTCCCGGCAGCGGGCGAAGTAAGCCGCGCCGCGGGTGGGAGGGCACCGAGCAAGGCCGGTGTGCGACAGAGGAGGGAGAAGCGGCGGCGGAAGGAAGAGAAGGAAAGAGAGAAAGAGAGAGGAGCGGGGCCGGTGGCTCACCAGGATCCGCTTGAAGAGGTTGCTCTCCTTGGGCGGCAGCGGCACGGACGGCATGGTGCGGGCGGCCCCAGGGCAGGCACGGCTGGAGGGAGGAAGGGGGCGGCCCGGGAGGGGCGGCTGTCGGTACGAGGGAGGGCAAGGAGAAGAGGAAGGAGGAAAGAAAAGCCCCGAACTCCGCGGGGCGGCGGCGGCGGCGCGACTCCTGCCCGAGCGGCGGCGGCGGCGACTCTTTAACTCATTGGCCTGCACCGCCCTCCCCGCCGGCTCCCCTCAGCCGCTGCGCGCGAGCGCGGCCCCTCTGCGCAGCTGCCGGGGAGGCCTCGCCGCCCGGCTGACGCTGCAAAATGGCAGCCGGGGTCCCCTCCGCGCAGGCGCGCTGGCGCCCCCCCCTCCTCCCGCCCGCTGCTCCCCCTCACACACACCATCACCCCCCCCCCCCCCCCCCCGATGCCTCTTCGGGCGTGAGGGGATCTTCCGCGGCGCTCTCCCGCGTATCCCTCCCCCTTCTACCCGCCCGGCCTGAGGGGACGTCTTCGTGGTTTGTCGGTTGTGGTTCTCCCCTTCTCGGCGGCCCTGAGGGGAAGTTACCTGCCGTGAGAGGAGGCCGGCGGCGGGCGGCCCTGAGGCGGGGAGCCCTGAGGAGGGGAGCCCTCGGAACGCCCCGAGGGGAGGAGGGGGAAGGGGGCTCCCACCCGCGGAGGTTGTTAACAGATAATAACTGGGGATCGCCCGAGGGCTGTGGAGAGGGGGTTGCGGAGGGTTTTGCAGCGTTTGGCCTCCCCCGGCCGCGGCTGGGAGGGCAGAAAGTCTCCTTTGTGTGCTGGCTGTCCTGCTTCTCTGCCCCTAGTAACCTAGTTTTAGTGGCCGCCATCCCAACAGCTTGCTTAAATTGGTATTTTGGAGAGGCAGGCTGCCTGAAAGCCCGGGAGGTATTGTTGGAAGAGAGCAAAGTCTCTGTAAACTGCAGAGCTTTGAGAGGCTGCGTGCTTGCTGTGCCCTGGCTGGTATTTAAGGAAACAACAGCAAACTTAGCAGTCAGACTTTTAGCAAGCCGGGATGTCATCTATTGCATTAATGCATTTTTCAGCAGTTGGTTACGTAAAACTTGCCGGCGCTATCGTGCATGCTTAGAACAGTAAGCATTTATTCACGGCTTGGCTCCTTCGCCAAAGGAGATTTAAGGTCTTTTGAAAATATTTTTGTCTTCTTGTTATTCCCAGAAATCATTCTTAAATGAATCTTTGAAAAAACTTTAAAAAACCACCAAAAAAACCAAAATCCCAACACCCAGAAACATGGCCTGGGGCATTTACTTAGAAGGAAAACTGGTTAAACTGTCAAGGTTACACCCAATTAAAAAGACCATCTTGCAGGGAAAAAAATTAGGCAGCTTCAATTAGAATCTCTGTTTATGTAATTACCCTTTAATATTTTGGTCTGTTTTAAAAGGATATTAAATTTGTAATAATATGGTTATCCACCTACGGTCCCAGATGATGATGAACATGATAGATACCCACAGTAAAGCAAGTGTGTGGAAAACAGTACATGACAAGAGCCAATTAGAAAAGCTGTGTACTTAACACGTTTTATTTGGTTACACATAAAGTAGGTGACTATGTGACTGAGACTGAGGATCCCAAGCAGCGTGTCTTTGACTTGTCATAAGCCTTGCTGAAGCTGATGGACGTGATAGCTGCTTTCCTTTTGGGCTAAAGGAGGGAACAAGAGCTTAGAAAATTTCTTGGAAGAGAGTAACCCAGATGATGGCCTGATGTGGGGTCTACTAATTAGAACAGAAAAAATGTGGTAGGCTTAGGAGGCCTCCTGAGATGAAAATAGCAAAGGCGAGGAGAATATTAAAGAAATACAGCATATGCTTTCCTAGTTCTTCTTATCTGAGCATCAGTTTATGGCCACTGTTTTTGTGGATGGTGGTTGGTTTTGGTGTTGTTTTGTTAATCTGTTTAGATGTATGGTCTGTAATAAGCTTCTTTGTGGAAGGAATATCTTGTGTTTATTTCTCATTTTTTTGTTCCAGCGTGCTTCTAATGATATCAGTCACCTGGATCACTGATAGCAGTATGTGTATTTTCCACATGCTGTACCCAATTCACTGTTCGTTTTGCTATGTGGTATAGTACTGCTGTATTCAGTATCTGATTTTTTTCAAAGCAGAAGTACTGTTGACAAGGATGGCCAGCTTGACTTTGCCCTGCTGCATCACTTTCAGAGCCTGTTTGTACAACAGCATGTATTCAGCACTTTTTATAACTAACTGAAGTTTTGCCTTTATGAACTCTAGTGTTCTGTCTTAGGAAAAGGCATGTTATGCCTCTGGTTGGGTTGAGTGATAAACAGATGCATCTCTGAGATGGTCAGGCAAATATTGTGCTAGATGGACCTTTGGTCTGAAGCAACAAGGCTGTTCTTGATGGCTGAAGGTCTCTTGTTTCCTGCTACTCCAAATACTGGGAAGAACACTTTCTGAAAATAGGCAAATTGCAAATAAGAGGCAGGGGTTCGATTTAGACATGTGTCTGTATTAAAAATCTGTGTTAAAAGCAGCAAGAAAAGGAAAGCAACGAGGCAATAAAAGAAACATTTGTAGACTAGCTGGGAGAGAATAAACAAATGAGCTTTTGGGGGAGGCAGAGCCGTAGTTGAAAGTGAGGTTTGGGAGCGCAGTCAAGAAAACTTCTTGTCATTTAATCCCACTGTGCTGGGCAAAACAAAGCTCTTTCTACAGGCTTTGTTAATAAACAGGACTGTATTCAAGACGCGTATGATTCTGTCACCAGTTTTGCCTTCAAACAGAAAGAATTCAGAAGTCTGTTGACAGAACTATTTGGGTCGAAAGGCGGGAGCAATGTTAAAGTGATATATACATTATAACAAGCTTGCGATTTTGCCGTGCCTCTTGCTTTACTCTGCGATGCGTTAACATCAGTTGGTAGCCATAGAAGTTGTGGCACGATGCTTGCAGATCGCTAAACCCGGTTAGGGCCCCCTGAGCGAAAAAGGGCCTCCATGTGGGCATGGACCTGCCTTCAAGCCAAGCATACTGTAAGGCCTGGAGCCTGTTTTGTCTAATGAGCCATTTCTTTGCCTCCAGTTTCTAAAGCAATTGGCAGTTTAGGATTGCCAGATTTTAAAGCACAGGACCGCCACGTCTGTCCCGAAGCCCAGCTGTATTTCTGCTGTCACTCTTCCCTTCTGCACCCAACGTCCCTGTGTGCTGCCGTGGTGGCTGAGGAAGGCGGTGGTACCCTGCCCCAAGCAGCCTCCCCCCCATAACCCCTGGTCCTCACCAGCTCTACGAGCAGCTGCCTCGGCCACGCAGGTTTTAAGGCATCAAAGCAAACCGTAAGGGGGGGTGGAAGCACAGACAGCAATGGGATTTCCCATCCTTCATAGTCAATTCCCATATTGCATTCTAAAAGCGTACAGTAAATATGGAGGAAGAGTGTATCTTGTATGTTTTGAATATGAGATGTATTGATTAGGTCCTGTGGTTGATGGTATGTCTGGCAACACTACTGACAGTACAGAGTCCAGCCCCTGTCTTGGCCATGTGGTCCCTGCGTGGTCTGCTGCTTGCTAGGGAGGGATGAAAGTTTGTTACAGTCTGTTTTCACACTTAGTTAAGTTCAATAACTCACCACCAAGGTATAATAAAAACTAAATCATGATTGCTTTTAATCAGAGTATTTAATGTAAGAGCCATTACTGGCTGGAGTAGAAGCTGATCTGATTTTCCTTGGCCTTCCCTCTTCTTTTAAAATCAATTTTTGAGTGCGCGGTCTGCTTACACTTTTCATGTTTTTATTAGCTTCTTGGTTGTCCTCCCATAGATTACCTTCCCAAGAGTTTTAAGTATCAGATTGCATATTTAGAGTCCCAATGCAAGGATAATTTTATTATTTCATTTCACCAAGGTCTAGGTCGTAGTGGAAGAAGAGCAAGGCACGGTGGGGATGGCGTCTGGACGATGACATCTCCCACAGCGCAGCACTGTGGGCTCAGGCCGGGGGAAGAGCCTTTGAGGTTTCAGGGTGCTGTTTGCTGTGGCCCTTTTGTAGATTGGATCAGCTCTGGGGTGGGTCCTATTCTCTGGAAGAGCCTTTTAATCTGTCTGCCTTGCCTCCTGTCCCAGGGGACGGAGCAGAGCCAAAATCTGTCCTCAGATCTAAACAAGCGGTTAGTTGTTGTTCATGTGCTGATGAGGTTTGATACAAATCCTGCCAATTGATTGGTCTCATTTTCAGTCTTTTGGAATATTTACCTCACCAAACCCTAATGATGTTATATGTGCCAAATGCCAAATTTTTACCTTTTTTTTTTTTTTTAATCCTGTTGAACAACTGTAGCTGGGAAGAAAGCTTTTTGAGTGATTACAGGTTTAAAAAACCCAGTGTTACTTAAGTCTTTTTAAAACACAAATATAATTAGGGAGGTAGTTGTGTAATCTGTTTAATATTATCTATTAAAATGTGCATATACATAGCTTGTTTTAAAGCATACCTTATTAGGAAGCTAGCTGCAGCCTATTATAATGATAATCTGAATGGTTATGTTTATTAATATTTTGTAACTGGTGTTTGTCTTTAGTAGCATGGTAATAATTAATCTTAAATGTAATTGAATAGTGAGCTTTGACATAAAGTGGAACTTAATGTTGTTTTATGCAAACTTCTCTGAAATTAATCTTTTAATAACCAGATTTGAAACGACATTTATTTTTAGCCCATGTTTTGGGAAAATACATGGAAAAGTGTATGCAATACAACAGCTTAGAATCTGGAAATAGAAGCGAGTATTCCCCTTTGTTGTTACTCTTGCCATTTCTCCCAAAGTGGTGCTGAAGTCAGAGTGTGTTACTGTGCAGCTGTGAGGAAGATGCCCGAAAATTAAGACCTATTTTTAAGGTCGCATTCCCCATTTTTTATTTCGGCGCTTGCGTTTCACAAAGTAAAGCAAAGTCAGCCTTTACCAATAGCATTGCTCGAGTGATGCTCGCAGACCTTTGGTGACGGTACCCCCACGCCTCTGCAGGCTGGCTGTGCGGCGGAGGGCCGGCCGGCCACGCGAGCCGGTGCCGAAGCATGCCGGGAGTCGTGTTTTTTAGCAGGCATTCTGGGACTGGGAGTTTTTCCGCTCTACTTCCCGTTGGCCACGGCCTCGTGTTTTGAGGTAGGATCCGTCCCGCGCCGACGTGTGCGGATGGTGAGTGCCAAAGCTCCTTGACGGATGCTGGGGAGTAGAGCCCCCCGCGCCCCTCATAGCCGCCAGACCTCCAGCTGCTCCTGCCTGCTCCTGCCTTCCCCTGCCTTCCCCTGCCTTCCCCGTCCACCCGTAACCCCTGCAGTGGGGGAGGGCTGCCAGGGGGACTTCGTGCACGGCTTTCAGGGGGGTTTGCTCAGGGTAGCTGTGGTGGGAGGTGGAGGTGTACAAAAGGTGGCCTCGGAGGCACGGCCTTGAGCTGTTCCTGTTACAGCGTGCCTTGAAATACGTGCTCCTTCCGTGTACCTACATATTCCTATGTCTGAATTCAGTTGCATGGAGTTAATAGCATCTTTGATTGTTAGGAATGTTTTTTGAACCTTCTTAAAGTGTTCGCAGTATTGATAACTCTTTCCTGTCTGGATATTATGATTTTTTAATTATTTTTTTTGTTATTTTAATAAGACAATTACAGTTGTCACTTGTGCTTACTAGTTTTGATTTGTGATGCGCACAGGGTAATTTTGTCACATAAAAAAGTTATTAAAATCTGGCTTGGAAAGCAGTTAATAGGTCATCTACTGCTCATAGCTCTGTAAAGGTTTTATGTGTGCTTATTTCTGCACAAATGTAATGCGGCAACATCTCTCTGAAAGGAGATAGCTTTTTTATTTAACATAGCAAAGTTATTTTGAAATTTCTGACTTCCCTGAAGGTCTGTGTCGTGCCATCACTTAGGTTTCTTAGGCATTTAAGATCAAGAATTTTATTTCTGAGAGCTCAGGCAGAACAATACTACAAATCTCTTATTGAGTGCATTGCTTCTTAACTACACTGGTAAAAATGAGTTAGATGGTTCTAATTTCTATAATTAATTAATTAAATAAATTAAAATGTAACATGAATATTTTAACAATGAGTTAATGATCATTAGCACTTGACCAGACGACAATGGGCCATGCTGATCTGGAGCAATTCCAGTATCATCAGCAGAATTAGGTCTTTTGGAATTGAGTCTACATGTGCCCCTGCGCGACAAAGTCCAGGACTGTAGGTGATGAGCCGGTTTTGTACCTTTTGCTGTGTTCCTGGTGAAGGGAATGTGATCCCTCTGCTACAGCTGGTTTTAGTCCCTAGAGCAATCCATGAGGGGTATCTTTGGCTTTCTGTAAATTAAAGCCATCCTGAAGTTGCTGCTGTGGGTTCTATAGCACCTGCTGGATGGGGAATCTGGGGAAGGTGCGGAAGTGGGATAAAGGTCCTTCCCTCCTTCTGTAGGTAGTAAAGCAGGCATCCAGACAAGCAGGACGCAGTACTTCTGGTTTTACTGGATATTGCTCTTTCTTCATTGTGGACAAATGGATGAAAGTAAATAGGTGATAATACCCAAGTTGAGTAGTTAGACTGTCATAGTAATTTGTTAATAAAATGTCTGACGATGCACAGAAGGTCTTGTCACTGATGGGTAAAAAATAATTGCCTTAGAAAACTGAAGTGTATGTTTCAAGGAGATCCTGTTGCAAAAGTTTCATGCTCTCATTTTCTCTGAATTCACTTTTTTATAAAAATCAGTAGACAGATGGGATTGTGGCACTGGCAGAGATATTAAGGAGTGCTTCTTTAGTTTTTAAACCTTTGCTCTGTGAGCAGTCCCAGAATACAAATGATTTCAATTTAGTCCTCTTGGTAGACCCTTGCACTCCAGTACAAATTTTTAGCGCACAGTAAGAATTCATAACAGTTTGCAATGTTGATGATATAAAATGAAGAGGAAAAGATCTTTCCTAGAGCAGCAGTGATGCTAAGGGGAGCCTGTGTCCTGCAAAACTGTAGGCCAAGTGTCTCAGAAAAATACAGGGGTTGTATTTCAGAGTAGGAGCTTCTTACTCACTTTTTGGATGGAAAATATTTATGTCACTTATATGTAAATATATAATGGGAACGAGTACACAGGGGACATAACACACTGCTCCTATGTCTTACATAGTACGTATATGGGTGAGTAATTTCTTGCAAGTGTATTGTAGTCCTATTGACTAATCTGTTGCAAGGTCACCTTGATGTTACTAATGTCCTCCTGCCAATGTTATATCCTGTTATGGCGGTGGATATAATTCTGCACGTAATTCTGGACATTTCATACATTCTCTATATAGGATTCTGTACCTCTAGTATAGATTTGTCTTCTCTCAGCAACATTTTTCTTTCACCAGTAAGGCATGAAATGGTAGGATTTTTCCAATGAGACACATGGCAAAATGAAGCTGTTGCTGTAAAGCCTCATCTACAGCAGCTTTTCCACAACATAAATAAACTGTTTGAGTATGTGAGGGAAGAGACCTTTTCCAACCTTCAGCCAGTACAGTGGTGCTGATAAGAGTTTCTGGTTTAAACCAGGACTAAAACAGGAATAGTTTTGTCCATGACAGTTGCATTTGTGTTGGTGTAATAAAGAACAGGATTTGGGCTTGATAGAGTTCTTATGTTTGTTTGGGTTTGATTTTTTTTTTTTTTTCCTAATAGAGTGCTCTCTTTTTCTACATAATAACACTGGTCCATGTATTGTCTACTTTTAATTTCAGGTGGTGGGAAAAAAAAGAAACAAAATGAAACCTTTCCAAAGTGTCTGTCTTTTCAAGAGCCTGCTTGCCAATTGCTACTGTCATGGTCAACTTCACAGCTGTCTTCTCCCTCCTGTTGCAAAGAAGATAGGTTATGTGGTGGGACTACACAACTGGGAATTTTGGAGGCCAAAATCTTTATTGGACACAGCAAGATTCACTCTGTCTTTTAAAAGTTGGCATAGGAAAAAACATCAGGATTCTCGAGCATTGTGGAAGCATGAGGCTGTGCAGAAGTATCTGGAGACTCTAAGCAAGGAATACCAGCAAGTTAGTCATCTGTTAAATGCTGACTCAATAAATGACTTTGAGCAAAGAACCCTGAGGAGAAGATGTGCCGATCTGTCCCCAATTGCAGCTGCATTTCAAGAAATCAAAGAGGCTGAAAGAGAAGTTCAGGAGTTAGAAGCTATGTGCAGAGGTAAGGAGAATACTACTTACTTGTTCAAAACCGTAGCTTTGCTTGCGATAAACTTTATTGCCCAGCCTCTGAGGAAAGCTTTTAAATAAGTTAAGCCAGCCTTGGGACACTCTCTGGTCCTACCTGCTCCTGGGAGCTTGCGTGCTGCTAGGGCTTTCTGCATCCGGCCACATCCTTCCATTTTTCATCTCACCTCACTTCAGTTTGAGGTCTTTATACAGCCAACTTGGGAGAGTAGGGATCATCTGGAATCTCAGGGCTATCCATCTAGCAGAAATATTTTGGAAATGTTTGTTTTCAGGTTGTTTTTTGATAGAACCGAGAGCATTGTGAACTGAATGGAAAAAAAATTAGAAGCCTGATACATCTGATAGATGCAGACTTCATAGAATCATAGAATGGTTTGGGTTGGAAGGCATCTTAATGATCATGTAGTTCCAACCCCCCTGCCATGGGCAGGGACACCTTCCGCTAGACCAGGTTGCTCAAAGCCCCATCCACCCTGGCCTTGAACACTGCCAGGGATGGGACATCCACAACCTCTCTGGGCAGCCTGTGCCAGTGCCTCACCACCCTCACAGTGAACAACTTCTTCCTTACATCTAATCTAAATCTACCCTCTCTCAGTTTAAAGACATTACCCCTTGTCCTATCACTACATGCCCTTGTAAAAAGTCCTTCTCCGGCTATCTTGTAGGCCCCCGTTAGGTACTGGCAGGCTGCTATAAGGTCTCCCTGGAGCCATCTCTTCTCCAGGCTGAACAACCCCAAGTCTCTCAGCCTGTCTTCATAGGAGAGGTGCTCCAGCCCTCTCATCATCTTTGTGGCCCTCCTCTGGACCCGCTCCAACAGGTCCATGTCCGTCTTATGTTGAACACAGTACTGCAGGTGGGGTCTCACAAGAGCAGAGTAGAGGGACAGAATCCCCGCCCTCAACATCTTGGTCATGCTTCTTTTGATGCAGCCCAGGATGTGGTTGGCTTTCTGGGCTGCAAATGCACATTGCCAAGTCCTTCTCCTCAGGGCTGCTCTCAATCCACTTGTCACCCAGCTTGAACTTGTGCTTGGGATTGCCCCGACCCACATGCAGGACCTTGCACTTGGCCTTGTTGATCTTGATGGGGTTCGCACGGGCCCACCTGTCAAGTTCCCTCTGGATGACATCCCTTCCCTCCAGCGTTTTGACCGCACCACACAGCTTGGTGTCATCAGCAAACTTTCTGAGGGTGCCCTCAATCCCACTGTCCTCATCGCTGACAAAGATGTTAAGCAGTGCCAGTCCCAATACCAACCCCTGAGGAATGCCACTTGTCGCTGGTCTCCACTTGGATATCGAGCCATTGATGGCAACTCTTTGAGTGTGACCATCCAGCCAATTCCTTATCCACCGAGTGGTCCATCCATCAAATCCATGTCTCTCCAATTTAGAGACAAGGATGCTGTGTGGGACAGTGTCAAATGCTTTGCACAAGTCCAGGTAGATGATATCAGGTGCTCTTCCCTTGTCCACCAACTCTATCCCCGTTGTAGAAGGCCACCAAAATTGTTGGGCACAATTTGCCCTTGGTGAAGCCATGTTTGCTGTCACCGATCACCTCCTTATTTTCCATGTGCCTTAACATAGTTTCCAGAAGGATCCACTCCGTGATCTTACTGGGCACAGAGGTGAGACTGACTGGCCTGTAGTTCCCTGGGTCTTCCTTTTTTCACTTTTTAAAAATGGGGGTTATGTTTCCCCTCTTCCAGTCAGTGGGAACTTCCCTGGACTGCCACGACTTCTCAACTATGATGGATAGTGGCTTAGCCACTTCATCTGCCAGTTACCTCATGATCCGCGGATGCATCTCATCAGGTCCCATGGACTTGTGCACCTTCAGGTTCCTTAGATGGTCTCAAACCTGATCTCCTTATTTATTCTCCCAGTCTTTGCCTTTGCCTTCTGCAACATGGGCAGTGTAGCTGGAGCAGTTGCCAGTGAAGATTGTGTATATTTAAAATGGGATTCCATCTAGCCAGTTCAGTGATACTTGTTGAGCAAATTACATGAACTTTCTTTAGGCCCTGAATTGTTAGCTTCCAACTGAAATGGCAAAAGCTAATATTTCTTTGAAGATAGTTGAGGAGTCCTTCAAGGAATAAAAATTGATGGTTGTCTAAGAAGCTGCTGCTTTTCAATACTCTGCTACAGTAGCAACTGGGGTAAAAAAACAATTAAAAATTTCCACTGTTTTTGATACTGCTCAGGAATAAGAAAGTACATAGGGAATAAAAGAATTGGCAACATTTTGAGAAAAAAAAAAAATTGTTAAAAGTATGAGGAGGTGTACACAGTAGCAAAGAAAAAATGTCATCCATTCTGCTACACCCATAGGTATTAAGCCAAGAGAGGGAAACATTTGCCTGGAGAGAATGGGGCTTACATTAAAGAAGTGAAACAAGGAAAAAGCAAAGGACAGGAGAAATGGGTAGCCAGCGCTGTAAATGAAGGAGGATGAAAGTTTTCAGAGAAAGAACCAAGGGGTGTTGACAAAACAGTAAAAGCCATATTGAAATAAAGCTGGTGAAAATGTAACTTGTTTATAAAGGTAGAAAACATTTGTTTTCTTTAATTTTAGAGATAAATAGGTATTTGTGCTTTTGGAAAAAATGGTGGTTATTGAAAATGTTTTAATCCCAAATCCTTTCAAGTTCTCCTCACTGGAGAAAGAGGAAAAGGAGTCAAGGTAAGGAGGGACAAAAATTTAACACTGAAAAAGAAATGTTCTTGGAAGAATTAGAAAATATTAAGAAAACACTGGAAAATTCATATTATACTTCAACTTAAAAAGGCTCATTTTGGATCAAGTAAATATAATGAAGAATCTTTCTAATTCTATAAATTATAATGTGGATGAAAGGAGTGAGCTCTAGTTGAAAGAAGGGAAAATAAAATGAAAGAAAATTACAACCAAGAAGTTAATTAAATGGAGTTATTTAAATTATTCTATCTGTAGTGTTTTTCATGTGGCCAAGTTAAAACACAGATGTTCCCTTCATTTCACTGCTCTTTGCTTTCTGTTTAGCTCCGTAACTGACCTGCTTGTCTGTAGTACCTGAATTCCTCACAATTGCTATAGGATTTTATGTTTGCAACACTCAGTGGAGCAGAAAAATATAATTTCCTGGTTTGCCACTGGTGATGTGAGTCATGGGGTAGATTAAGTGAGTTCTTAAGGGTCAGGTTTGCAGGGAGGTAGGAATGGGACACCAATCCTTTGAACCTTAAGCTTGTTGGTTACCACTAGACCATTCTTTCATCTCTGCTGCCAGTAGTTAATTTGATACTGTTTATCGAACTAATCAATAATGAAGCTTTTTGGAGCAGCTAGAAGCCTTTGATTCAGTACCAGCTTTGGGTTGGAGCTGTGGCAGACTGGTAAGGAAATTTATACAGTTCTTGCCTTACGTACAGGGCATGCCAGGTTCAAGTGTTGATCTGACATCTTTTATTTAAGGAAAAAAAACCCCAGAGCATAAATTAAAAATGGTGATACGGACAAGCTGCTGCTGTCCTTGCCCAGTATACAAAGTTGATTCAACATCCCACCCCATTTAGTTCTTAAGACTCGCCGCTGAGGCCACCAGTAAATGTGCATGTGTGTAGCTGCTGTGAACGGGAACCAGGCTCCAGATGCCCACAGATGTGGAGCCCGTGGTCCTTGTGCCGGCCTTTGAGACACCTAATTCCTGCCGCAGAATCCAGAGCTCAGGCGACTGGTCCTGCAAGGTGAGGAGATGCATTCCGCTATTGAGTGTCTGGTTTTATGCTGCATCTGAGGCAAACCTATGGTTTCCATGCTGGCCACAAGGCATAAGACTTTCTCCTCCTTTTTGTTGCTTTTTTTCCCCTCGCTTTCACTCCCAGCTGTTCAAAGCTGTCTTCCCCCATTCCCCTATTTGTGCTGGTAATTGTCCAGTTGTAAATTAAATCTCGTTCAACTTGGCATGGTAAAATACATTAATTTATTTATTTAGCCAGACCTGTTTTTTTTCTTTCATTGAGTTAAATTGGTTTACTTTCTGATGAGATGAGTGACAGAGCCACTCCTCAGCTGGTAGAACAGTGGCAAGAAAGATGAAAAGGAGAGGGTGCCCCCTATTTTGGCAGTGGCAGGTTTTCCACTTGACTCCAACTGTCTTCCAAGTTTCTAATTAGTGTACAATCTAATACTAAGGGATTAGCATCTTTTATTATTGTAACCTGGAGCCTCCATAGGAGAAAAGGTTTGGAGCTTCTGCTAGCTTTACCTGAGAATGTTTCCTAGTTTGGTAGTAAGCTCTGAAATGTAGGAAGGGGCAATCTAATCTCAGAATCATCGAATAATGTAGTTTGAAGAGGACCTCTGAAGATCATTTGGTCTGATGTCCTGCTGAAAGCAGGACCAATTAGAGCAGGTTGCCCAGGGCCTTGTCCAGTTAAGTTTGAAATATATCCAAGGACAGAGATCCTACAACCTCTCTGAGCCCCTGTTCCAGTGTCTGACCACCCTTAGGGTGAAAGTAATTTTCCTAATATCTAATCAGAGTTTCCTGTATTCCAGCTTATGTCTCCTTTTATCACGATATACAGAGTCTGTCTCCACCTTTTCAATGTCTTTCTGTTAGGTAGCTGTACACAGCAGTAAAACCTTCCCTCCCCCTGCTTTTCTTAAGGCTGAACAAACACAGTTTTCTCAGTCTCTTGTCATACATTCTTTGCTCCAGCCCTTGGCCATCTTGGTGGTTCTCAACTAGACTCACTCCCATATTTCCATGCCTTTCTTTTACTGGGGAGCTCAAAACTGGACACGGTACTGCAGATTGTGGTCTTATGTGCTGAAGAGAGGGGAAGGGAATCTCCTTAAGCAAAGCAGAGAGTTCAAGTGAGGTCTCCCACATCCTGATGACTTGCATCCATAACTCCCACATCTCAGTGATCTCTTGAATAGCAGGAGACAGAAGGTTAGAAACCTCATTATTATCGTCATACCATTATTTGTAGTGCTCACCTTAATGAGTTGTCTACAAATTGTTGAATGTATCGGTCTTTCTGGGTAAGTCTAGAAACAAAAAATTTTGTTGCATGAAAAATTGTCATAAGGGAAACAGAGGCACTTCTTGTCTGCAGGCATGTTTTTGATGTATTTTGTCAAATCCGTTTGTGGATTTACCCCTGGACCGTCAATCTATGTGACATATAACTGAGAGTGAGTAACTGTCAGGTGGGACTGGCATCTATTTGAGGCAGACTTAGAGCCATAAGGTAGAGATTGAGAGGTAAGGTATCCACTACTCCTTCCAGCACACCTGAAAAATATGATCATTTAGTTAGCAATATGCATCCTGGCTTGGGCTGTTCTTATTTGATATTTCATGCTGGCAAAATGCAACTGCAAGCTTTTATGTGCTGCGATGCATGTCTTTGGACAGCTGTATGACAATTTGCTCTATGCTAGGTGAGATTGGCTAACATCTATTCCTGTTATTGGAATTTAGAGCTAGACAGCAGAGATGAGAAACAACTTCTAGAGCTTGCCTTAGAAGAGAAGGAAACCCTGGATAAACAAATCAACATGTTGTGCAGAAAGGTGAGCCTGAGATAAAATTATACAGCTTTGTAAATAAAGATGTCAGAAAAAAGTTGCTTTGTGATCTTATCAATAGACTCTGACACTTGCATTTAATGAAACAGAAGTCCAGCTTCTGTATTCTCCCTGGAAAGAAGTGGCAACATTAATTATTAGTAAGCTTCTTACTGACAATTATGTCTTAGAAGCTTATTATTTTAGTCACTTTTGCTTGCTTGCTTGCTTGCTTGTCTGTCTGCACATGCTGAAGGGGATTAAAAAAATGGTGAGTCTGTGCTATTGAGACCTGATATGACATCCTAGTAACTGTTTGTGGCAGCGAAGCATGCAGACTTGAAAGATTTCTGATTGGAACTTGCAGTCTTTCATTTGCTCTTCAGCACCCCATGAGTGGGGAAATTAATTATAAGCAGAGAAGCTGAAACGATTCAGTGGAGAGCTCTATGTTTGGGCTCATTTCTATGTTCAGATTGAAATAATACGAAATAGGAGTTTCTGAAAAATAAGATTAATGTAAAGATTGGCTGGGTTTTAGCTAATACCTTTGTGTTCATAGGTAGTTGGGGCTGGAGTGGGTGACCTGGCACCTGACTTTTCAGGATTGAATTTTCAGCTAGCTCTCCTGTGGATGCACCAGCATATCCCATTTCCACACTGACCGCACTGAGTTGCAATGGCCATTGGACGGTTTTTAGTCTTTCTTACTAGTTTGCCAAAAGAAATCAGTGGTTGTGTGCACTCAAGCTGTGGCAATCGTGAAGGCTGGCTGTAAATGTGATTAAGAGGAGATACAGAGTCATGAAGGAGATAATGACATTCTTTTTTTTTTTTTTCCCTTTTCAGCTTTTCCAGCTTCTAGTGCCAAAGGAAAAATATGATAGAAGTCATGTCGTATTAGAAGTGACAGCTGGCAGAACAACTGGAGGTCAGCAAAGTCCCCACAGTAAAGATTACTTCAAACCTCCATCCAACTTTATTAAACCTCTTATGGGTTATTCTTAATGCCTTTTTATACTTTAATGGTATAAAGTAATACTTTCTAAAGAAGAGTATTAATCTGTCTAATGACTGTGGTTAGAGTTGCAGCTAAATCTAAAAACTGGTGGCTGCCATTTTGTGAACTGCTATTTATGTTGTAGTGCCTTTATATTTTTAGGAGACATCTGCCAACAGTTCACTAAAGAAATGTTTGAGATGTACCAGAACTATGCAGACTATAAACATTGGACCTTTGACATTGTGAACTATACGCCGGCTGAGATAGGTACAGTAGTTCTTTGGGCATTCCACCAAGACAATGAAATTAAAAGCAGTGTTTCTGTGCTATATTTGTCACACATTATTTGTCTCTGTAGGTGGGTTGCATCATGCTGCTGCTCATATTTCAGGAGATGATGTCTACAGGCATCTGAAATATGAAGGAGGGACTCATCGAGTCCAGAGAATCCCTGAGACGGGACTATCATCAAGAATGCAGCGTATTCACACTGGGACAATGTCAGTTATTGTCCTCCCTCAGCCAGAGGAGGTAAACTAACTAATTGGGGTGGTAAGGCAGTGTATCCCTGCTCACCCATTTTGGCATTGGAGTAGGTGTTATTTAAAACCATGTTACTGTTACTGTTTGGGGATTTTACTGATACTCAAGTGCTTTGTGCAAGTCCCAGCAAGTGAACCACAAGTTCTCTGTCTCTGGAAGGTGATAGTCCTTGGCTCTGTACTTTACATGTTTAAATGGGTCATCAGAAGCAACTTTGCAGAGATTTGCTATTGCCTGAAATGGCATGTAAATCAATGATTGTTTCAATGAGTATTCCAGCCCCAACACACAAAGCTGACTGCTATGAGTAAGCCAATTTTAAACTACGTCATGTATTAAGACAGGGAATATATCCAAGAAAATATTCAGTGTTGCATAGTAATGTGATTCTGCATGTCCTTTTGATTTTTTTGGTTTCATTTAAATTATTGGTGTCCTTCTCTGTTAAATCAAGGACAGTGTGCTTTGAATTTGAATGAGTGAGTGTGTTGGCTAGTCTTTCTGAGATCTCACTGATAGCGACAGTTCTCACTTAAACCAGCAATTTACACACCAAATAAACAATACCAGATCCTGTAGGCTTTCTGTGCACATTCCCCTGCTTCCTTGTAATGCTTTCTTTGCAATATTGACCAGATCTGAATGTTCCTTTCCCATCCACTGAGCTCAAACTATGGTCCAGGTCATCATGGCCTCATATTTCCAATGCTGCAACCCCTACTTGGATCTGGATACACCTATTTTTTCCTCAGTTAGATGTTTTTAAGCACTGTTGCAAGAGTCATTCAGGCTTGGCGCATGAACAAGATCCTTGCACTGCTGTTTAGAAGTAGTTTTGGGTTATTTGTTTATTTCTTAGTCTCCCTGCCAAAGCTAGTGGTTTTACAAAAAGTTGTTCATTTTGTTTTGTTTCACACACACACATACTTTGTTTTGTGAAGGACTTGGAGAGAGAGTTTGAAAAAATAAGTGAAATATTTAAAGCATCACTTGCTTTACAGAGATACTTGACACTGCATTTTTTTTAAGTATAATAATTATAGCTGTTACTCAGGAACGGTTGTAAAGGAGCAAATTTTTGAGAAGTGTTTTTTTTTTTTTTACACCAAGTATCATTGAAATTCAAATATTTTTAGAATGAGCAGAAAGTAGTAATTTTCTTTGATTCTAGGTTGATGTTAAAGTGGATCCCAAAGATTTGCGTATAGATACATTCAGGGCCAAAGGAGCAGGCGGGCAACATGTTAACAAAACTGATAGTGCTGTGAGAATTGTACACCTTCCCACAGGTATGTCTGACTATATTTCGTACTTTTAATCACCCTAAATCTGTATCCTGCAGAGAAAGCTTGTGATCCTGCAAGTTGTCTCTTCGAATGAGTTTGCAGGGTTGGGCCTTATACAAAAAAAGGAAGTAGTCTCCCCTGGTTCTGCCCCTCTTCTAGCAAGGCAACATGCAAGAAAAGAGATATGTACCAGTGGCACAATGGTCAGCAAGTTGCTATTATGCCAGTGTTGTCTTCACAGGGAGTGTTTAATGAATACACTGCCTTTGAAGGATGAAAGAACAAATGGAGAGTGACAGGGATGGGATGGAAGATGTAAATAATTCGTACTGTGTGCTCTCTACCTTCAGGAATAATGGCCGTTGGCAACCAAGGGCGTGCTTTGCCTAGCTGGAACCTGTGTAGTTACATGACTGAGAAAAAAGGAGGCTTGAAGATTTTCATTCAGTACTAGATAATGCTATCGTATGTTGAATAGGAAGGAAAATGTTTACTGATGGGAAGGTAGCGTATAGATAGACTGGGCCACTCTGTCTTCTCGGGGTTTGCTTGTATTGAAATTCAGTGGGCTTCTATCTGTCCAGATGCAGAATCTCTTCAGGCGCAGGAAATTCCAGTAGTGCCCTGAAAACAGCTGTTTCCTATATGCCTTTTTATTTCAGAAATCAAATGAGAAGTAAAAATAGTACTAAATCTCTTTTAAAGACCTTTATTTTACTTTATTTCATTATTCATAATTAAGTCCAAGACTCACCAGTATTGTTTAGACACCCTTCTCTGCTAGAATAATGAATTTGCCAGTCTCCAAGAGCTTATTGAGACTAAGACTTTAAAAACTGGTATTAGACTGTTTTAAACATGCTGCTGTAGACTGTGCAAATTACATTTTTATCATGTGATAGGTAATTGGAGGGAACCTGTTTTCTGGAGGCAATGTCAGAAACTTGTTTGCTTCATGAAATTTCAAAATATCCCTGACTTTTCTGTAGCACTGAACAAAGCCCCTGGTGCAGCTGTGAAGAGTTTAAAAACATACTAATGGTTCTGAGCAGTGTGTTAAAATGACTTTTTATCCTACAGCTGAAAGGCCCTACAAACCAGCACTCTGGAAGGTTTCATTTGCCTAATGTGTTAGAATTAATTTGGCTTGTTTGTTCTTTGTTATAATGGGCTTTTGATCTGAGCTCTCTTGAATCCCTCTGTAAAGGACTGGCAGTTGAGTGCCAGCAGGAGCGATCACAGCAGATGAACAAGGAAATAGCCCTGCGGACACTGAGAGCTAAGCTGTACCAGCAGATCATTGAAAAACAGCTAAGTCAAGAGCAGAGTGCCAGAAAACTGCAGGTGAGAACATGTGATGCTGAAATTTGGAGAGGGTGCTGTGTTGTAGATATTTTTCTGATCTTTTTGAGTGACAGAGCAAGTGAGTGTGTGTGTCTAATCAGGTTTGCTTACAAAGGAGAATCTTGTATTTTTAAATGGTAAGTCTGCTTTTTACTTATCCCAGTTCAACGCTATTCTAGACTTCTCAGGCAATGAAAGAGAGACATCAACTGTAGCTGGAAGAAGAAGAGTCAAAAGACTTGCTGGGATTATCCAAAAGGCAACACTCAAACAGCATGTACTGAATCCCCCTATTAAGGCCAGAGTTACACAAATAGAGCATCAGTGAAAAGTTATTTTCCATGAGAACTAGGATCAGAAGTTCTCAAAGTTGTATTTTAACCTGTTTCTAAACCAGACTGTTTGATAAGACCACACAGACCTTTTGCAAGAAACAAGTATATAAACAATCCTGCCACTACGTGGTTAGGTAGCAGTTTCTTTGATATGTTTAGGTAATCTTTTAAGGAAGCTTCCATAAAAAAGTTACCTCAAATTACGCTGCAAAGTGTGCTTTTTTCTTGAAATGTGCTGTCATTCGTTTCCCATTCTTTGAGTATTTACCCATTTGTGGTGCAAACTTCAACAGTGATCATCAGGAATAAAAATACTTCAGAATTACAGAATTATTCAGTACTCCAAAACTTCCAGCTTAGCTATTTAGTCACTCATTTCAGGTTGCATTTAAATGTATTGTTCCTGCAGATTATTAACCCAGTCATTGTAAGCAGCAAGCCATTTATCTTTTGTTATTAATTTTAGCTTGAGAGCCTTTAAAGCTGCACAAAGGACTTAGATGTACCTTTATGTGAATGCTACAGGAAATCAGGCAAAAGTAAATTATCTTTCCTAATGTTTCAGAATTTATTCAATAAATTGCTTGTTTTGAAATAATACATGTTGGGTGCAGATGAAATTTTCAAAAAAGCCCACTGAGGCAGACACCTATTTCTCTAAGCAGTTTTTAGCATTTAATTCTCCATTTTAATAAAGTGTTTAACCACACAACAGTGCTACATTTGGATTTCTGTTTTCAAACTTTTAGAATTGCTTGCATTCTTGCACTTTACCACTAGAGGACTACTCTTCGTGTTCTTAATTTTCTCCTCTTTCAGTGCTAATCTCCAACAGCCAAACGCTAGTGGAACTGTTTTGCCACGCGTTGCCTGTGCTGCTTCTGTTATTAATGGTGCCTACTTTCATTATTTTTGGTGGGAGCTACAACCCCCCAAAAAAGAAAAACACTCTTACATTTTTGAACTAAGGACTTGTATAGTCATAGCTCTTGCCCTACATGACTTCTGAGAGTTAACAGAACTCTTCCAGCTACAGAGCTGGAACAGAAGTGTACTGGAGGATGTAAAAACATGGTCTATGATACTGAATCACAAATAATACAGTTTAGTAATGCTGCAATATTTTAAAAACCCCATATGCTAAGCCAATGACTGCTAGGTTTGTAGTTGGAACAGGCTGATCCATTTAAGTTTATTCTAGGTATGCTGTTTTATAGTAGTATGTGATTTTTTTTTTAAACACAATATAATAGAATTTGGTTTTTGCTGCTTCACTACAGTTGGGAACAAGAGCCCAGTCAGAGAGAATTCGTACTTACAACTTCACCCAGGACAGAGTCACTGACCACAGGATCTCGTATGATGCACGCAATATCAGGGTAATGGTTGCTTATGAGAGTATTTAAAGTTACATACTTATGTGTACCATTAGAAGAAAAAATTAACTTAGTGCAAACAATTTACTATATATGAGGAAATAAGATAGCTGGTTGCGCTCTGACAGAATATCGTATATTCAGAAAGCTTAAACTTTCTTTCCTGTCTTCTTGTAAGTAGTGTTAAAGATGACCGGCACAGGATATAATTCGCTGGCCTATTTCTCTGTGTGTTTTTAATCCTGCTATAGGAGTGAAAAAATGATCAAGCATGTCATCCCCAGTGAAGTCCGTTAGTCCCTCCGCCAAACTGGGCAAGCGACATTTGAGATTCTTGAAGCTTAGTACATCCAAAAGAAAAACCTGACACAAAGGACTTTTTTTTTGATAAGCCACTCTTTCTTCCTCCTAATGCCAGGGTGAAGAAAGAGAGAAACTTTTATGTTTGCCTTGCAGGCCACAGCTAAGAGAAACTGAACGCTTTCATTTTAAGATAACTTGAGGTCTTATTTCTGAGTAAATCTGTACATACGGCTTGAATCATATTTATTTATTGTTTTTTTACAGGGAAACAAATACCTAATAATGCATTTTTCTATATTAAAAATTTATGAAAATGTTTTGAATTTTAGGACAAAGTTTAGGGTGACCCTTCAATATTTTGGCTTAGGTATCCAGTTTAGTGTAAGTGCTCTTGTGTAAGGAGCAACACTTTTGGAACTGTACCCCCCCGGTGTCCTGGGTAACTTCAGAGAACACAGGGCATGCTGAGTATGGAAGGGTTCATACTGAATGGAGTGGGGAACAGGTACACAAATATCATGGTGGAGGAGAATGGGAAGAAGTTCCACGATGGTGTAAAAATGATGTTTTGTTAGTCAAGCTTTTCAGTTACTTAGTGTTGGGAACTCGTTACTTTTCTTGAACGAAACTGGAACAGTAAACTGCCTAACAAAAGTTAGTTGAGCTTTGCTTGCAAAACAAACTAGTTCTTGGCATGAACAGACAGTATTTAAATCAAGTTCTTCAATCCTTGATTGTTCTTGCTAGGGGATTTTCATGTATACGCATGGGTTACATGAAAGCATGGCAGGAAGGGACCAGTAGCTCCTTTTGTTGCTGCCAAAATCAGTGTGCTTTTCACAGGCGGCCAGCTGAAGTCCCGCTGCCATGCACCACAGGGGAGCCGCAAAGATGAGCAAGTGGATGCACCAAGATAAGACTGCAGGCAAAGTGCATTCCAGGAGCTTCTCGTTTGAGTAGTCAAGAGTTTCAGAATAATACTGATGTACAGTCAGTAATGCCATTGCCTGTTTTTGTTTTTCTCGTAGGAAATTCTAAGTGGGAAAGAAGCACTGGATAAGCTGATCAACAGACTGCTGGAGTTTGCAGAGATAGAGGCTATCACCGAATATCTAGAAAATTTGCAGGCTTTAGAAGGAGGAGGCTGCTGAAGACCTTGTGTAGAGTTAAAGCAAAAATGTTAAGTTCCGTCGCAAAACAAAACAGATGCATTTGCTAGATGATAGACTGATTAAAATCTATGCCTCTGTTTTTCAGTGTGTGATGATATTACTCTTTTTTATATTTTGGTGCAAATGGGTTGAATTTATTACAACAGCCATAGCAGAAAAGAACAAGCTCGGAGCACTGTGTGCACATGCCTTCTGTCTTGGCAGTGTGGCTTTGTTAAGCTGGTTCTTCTCTTGACCGTATTGCAGCTGGAAAGATACAGAATTGTGGTGATGGAGCAGAAGAAACACCACATAGTGCACGTTTTGTTTTGGGGGTGGGAAACGTTCGTCTCCAGGTGAAAGAACCTAAGCTCCCCAAACATAGTTGAGAATCTGGCCTCATGAACACTACTTATTTTTATCCATTGATCGGGTGAGCTTCCTAAATGTATTCCCTCAAAAACAAGTCTGTGTTATGATGCTTTATTTTTTAGGATGAATATACCAAAGCAAAGGGAGTGATCTCAGGCAAGGGGCCGGAATCTTAAGGGAGAAGCCTGTCAGCTTTCTTCCAGCTATTCTTGGGTCAGCTTAGGGTGGGTCTGGACCACATGCTGCAGTGGCGTGTAAAAGTGTTTTGAGTTTCAAATTAAGTTGATGAGATCGTGGAAGGAGTTCAGCAGTGATAACAGGCAGCTCCCTGCTTCTTGGCAGAGAAAACAAGTTCATAGTGTAGATGCATTTGAGCAAACGGCGTAGCTGTGGAATTCAGCGTCTGCCTTGATGTCTTTGGGAAGGTGATCCAAGTATCTACAGAGCACACTCGGCTTTAACAGGAGTTGCGTTTGCGTTTTCACCAAAGCGCGTGCTGCGCAATACGCCGACAGGCACACGTGCGTGGGCAGTCAGTAGTCGTAGGCAGTGATTCAGGGATACTCGCATGTTCAGCGTTACTCAACATGCGAGTGCTCTGCTGAACTGGGTTGACTTGCTAGATCACGGTGTTCTCTTTTTATCCTGCTACTTCCCAGGGTGTGCTATAAAGCTGCTCTGCACAATCTTTTGCATGTGAAGAATCAATTAATTGTTACAATTTACGCCTTGTTGTTGATTTATATTTGCACGTTTATTTTGTAATCACAAATGTTGAGAAAAATGTCAGTTATTTTAAGAAAAATAATTATTTCAATACGGAGTTCTTCTAAATGGTGTAGGTTTTACTACTGTATATATAACAAACAACAGTTTTAACCTTATTCAGCTATATTAAGAAAGACAGAATTTGTGCCAGGAAGAAAGCAGCAAAACTATACTCAGTTTCTCAATTCTGGAATTATTTTTCAATTCTTCTGTGTGTTTGCACATTATTATCAGCAAGCTTTGTCTGACAATTTTTTACTTCCTTCCAACACTTTAATTACAAAAGCTTTTGGGTTTTGATTGTTTTTTTTTTAATTTATAGCTCTATAAGTCAATTGGGAAACATATTACCATGCAATTTAAGAGTCATTTGCACACTTGAACTTTGACTTCTTGCAGTAAGCGGTTCAGAAAAAAAAAACCACCTCCAGGAAGATGGACAACTCCGCTTGTGCTTAGGCAGTGCTGACAGACTGGCAATAACTGATATGATCAGCTGTAGGAGAGTATCCAGTTAACATGCTTATCCAATTACCATGCTCACTTTGTGATGCAAACCAATATATTTTATTAATTATATATCTTGAACAATCTTAGACACTTCTTTTACAGAGTACGCATTTTAAATAATCAGATTCTACTTCTAGGATTAGTTAATGCTTAAAGTTCTTTCTTTACTAAGAAAAACTATTGAAACACTTAAAAATGAGCCTCATTTATTTTACTGGAAGAAAGATAGTCATGTTTTCACTGCTGGACGTTGGGGATATTTGCAATCAATTAATTTTCTGTAGCCCTTCCTTGTTGCTGGTTTTGTGCAGCGTGGTGAGAAAGGGGAAAGCAGAAGGTGGCTCCCCTCTACTACTAGATTTTGGATGTCTCCAGTGCAAGTATTGAAATTGAGCAGCTAAATCCCTTCTCCCAGCCTGGTCTAGTGCATTCTGAAGGACCTTTGTCCTGTTAAGCTCATCCTGCAGTTGCTCACACCGGGGTAGGACAGCAAAGTACGGCTACGCTCAGTTATGACGGAGAATTCGATACAGAGCAGACCCACTTCTACGGGAGGTCATTGCCTGCACCGCTCTGCGTTGCTAAAAGCAGATTTGCTTCTCCTCATTGAGAAAGCATTATTGGAACCTATGTTCTCTCCTAACTTCCAAAATAATATTTGAAGCTGTATTTTATTTGAAGTTCTTCCACTCCAGCCTTTCTGTGGGACGCAAGAGCTGAGAGATTGCGATGGGGTTTGGCTGTGGGAGGGATGCGGGGTATAACGATGCCGTCTCAGGCATTTTCAGGATGGATTACTCTGAACTTGGGCTCTTCAGTTCCTACAAGCAACTGTGACTCCCAGCAGTGACATCACTAGCAGAAAAAATTACGATTAACAAAGCCCAGGGAGGAAAAGGAAAGGGAAGGCAGCGAATGGCCGCTGGGGACAGCACAACTGGTCGTGGGAGGGCAGAGCAAGAGCAGGTTCATCGGGTAGAAAAAGCCTTCTCCTGCAGCTTCCCATTTCGTTGCCAAATCGCGTTACAACAAAGAGAACAAAATGCCACCCGTCTGCCCGGCTCCCCCTCGTGATCGTCAACGCGCCTAACGGAGCGCCGATGCGCAGGCGCGATGTTGCAGCTGGTGCAAAGCACCAACTTCATCTCTCTTCAGCTCCTGTTGATTGACGTGACACAAAGTTCTTGGATCTCCTTCATCTCCACGCTGAGGTCTCGAGCGGCAGCGCCTCGCCCAGCAAAGAAGGAAACCAGACAAAAGCCGCGCCTGGAAGTAGCCCTTTTAATGACAGTGGAAAGATGGACGCTTACTTAAAGATGGAAAGAACGGCCCTGGTACCTTACCTTTGTCAACAGAAGGTACGAGGGAATGCCTCGGAAATCCTGCAACTACAAATGGATTTGTTCACTTGAAGTAGCAAGCTGCTTGTTCTCCTTTAGCTAAAAGGAAGAAATAGCCAAATGCTGTTAGCAACAAAACACATTTCATAGTCTGGCAGAACTGTTTGCCTGCATCATACCCGTTTTTTTTCTAGCTGCTTAGTACAGCTGAATAGTTTTTTCACTTTCTGTAAAAAAAGTTGCCAAAAGATCACGTTGACAAAAAGATTTTTTTCAGTAAAAGAAATGCTATGAAATAATTTACATGCATTTCCCACCTTTTGAAAGTGTGTATCTTTAACTCGCAGGGCATTGTTCATCATTCTTAAGACCAGCAGATACGAAGACTACTGAATCACCATCTGTTCTCATCAGAAAGTTTATATATTCAGCTACATTCTGAATGTCACTAAATAGTAACTACAACAAACCTTACCTGAACTCTGTTAAGAATTTTAAAATTAACAATTTTAACCCAGGTCATTTATTACTCATAATCGATGCACAGAATGAAACAATCCCCAGTAACTGCTTAATGTGCTACTGGAGGGCACCCAGGCACTACGCTGGTGACCACAAAAGAAATATATTTCTTTGAAGAAGCATTTCCATATTTACATACCGATTTTGGTTTATATTTACCCCAGACCCCATTTTTAACAGAGTACGTGCCCGTAATTCTCTCAGGTTGTCTAAAACCCTTGAATAGATAAACAACGGTAATATAGATTGTTCAAATGAAAGCTTTATTCAGTATTTTCAGATAAACTCCACTTCAAGAGCTTGCAATATTTTGTAATTGCAACTGAGAAGCTGTTAAAGACAAACCAGATGTTTAACTTTGCAGACAATACTTATGAACTAACACAAGCGCTTTTCAATCACCCCACTGTTCTTCACTGTATCTTCAGTTAAGCAAGCCATTAAAGTCCACTGCCTTCATCTCATGGCCTGTATAATGCTGTTGTCTGGTTTTTGACATAGACTATTTCTACTTTTACAGGTAAAATCAAACCTGCGTTTGCTGACACTCTCTGGGAATCCTCTTGGGCGAATTTAGCCTTTTTCAGATTATTATTTGCAACACTTTTTGCTTTGTACAGAAAGTTTTGTTCAAGCTGTATCCTGAAACATTTCACAAAGCTACATTTCTTAATCACACAAACGGTTAACACAATTTCTAAGTTAAATAATTTAGCAGGTAGAAGGTAAGAGGACTTAAGAGGTAGATACAAGAGAGACTGAAGAGGTATGGCTGATAGCACGGAACCAAAGGGTTGCCGCAGCGGATAGCAGAAGGCATACAGACAGCTTTTTTACCAACAAGCGAAAGGATTTAAGGGCTGCAAACCCCGTAGGAGGAATGGAATGAAATCTGTCTCAGGAAAATGAATTATCAAGGAAAATCAAAATATCACATGTAGTCAGTCTTGAAATAGCTTGTACGTTGTTTGAAAATAGGTAAGGCTGTACTTCTTCAGGGTGTGATGCAAAGAGGCAGCAGAAGCGCTTGGAACAAGCTGGGATCTGGAGACGCGGTGGCCTACATAAGACGACGTGAAGCTTTCCGAAGATCTCGGTAGAGCAGGGGATAAGGTGAAGGTGGACGCTAGAAACGCGGCACAGCGGTGATATGTAGATTTGCATATATAGGAATACTGGAGGAAGACGGTTTGAGGAAGACAGCAATAAGAATAAAAAGTACTAAAAAGGGGAAACACAACTCAAAAAGCAAATCAAGGAAACCAAGCAGCATGAAATAGTTTTTTACTCCCTTTCTGAGATGCCAAAATTTGCACTGAAATAACATCTTTGGGGGGGGGTGGGGTGTAGAAGAAAAAGGAGAAATGTGTATATACACGTACGGGTTAGTGAATTTAACTGGGACCCACGTCATGACCAGCTGCCCCACCTTCTAAATCTGAATATTGGGACTGGATGATGCTGCAGCACAGATTTTGTCTGAGGGTCAAACAAAAAGCAAAATTTACCCTATTGGGAAAGTCTGGATTTCAATCTACAAATTCCCAGGTGAAGTGTTAAAATTTGGCTTAGCCTAAACACGAACAAGGATTATTCTGTAACCTGAGTCAAATCGAGCAGGTCTCTGCACAGCTCCTGGCATAAAAAATGTCCAACAAAATAATTTTCTTTTTAGTATATGCAATGTGTTTGCCTCTAAAAGCATCACCAACTTCAGGCAGGCCCTACTGTAAAAACACACAAACCAAAGCTAAGCGTCCTGCATTGCGAAGCTGTCTTTCTAAACAGACAAGACAGGTGAAAGATGAGGCAACGAAAGAAAAACACAGAGCAGTGAATTGACTTGCTCAAAACCACACCAAAGAAATCATCAGAAATTGCAATGACTCCCCCTTTCTCTCCGACACTCCTTCTCATATTGCTAATAACGTCTACGACAGCCCATAAAGCCAAGGATGTAGTCCTCACTCCAGGAGCCTGCAATAAAAGCAGGCAAGCAGATAAAAACACGCTGCATGATAGAAAATGGATTAGTCAGAAAACAAAACACTATTCTTCTGAAAACACTGTTCTTCTGAAACAGTAAAAGGAACATTCCTTTGTCAAAAGCCAGCGCAGCCCAAGGAAGGATTAGCAGATGAGGAGCATAACTGTGCTAATACCTAGAGGATTCCTACCGCAAATTCCAAAGGCAGAAGATTTTGCAGGGAGATAGCACAGAAGGGAGAAAGATCTGAACAGATGTCCTGAAAAAGCAGCGTCTGCCTTAAATCTCACACAAGACAGTATTTTTGTATAGAAGAGAAAATATTTGGTTTAGATACACAATAAGGAAATTGAGTGACAGCATGGTGCAAAATTAAACAGTGGCTTTGGATATATCAAATTTTATTCAACTGGCCCTTATTATAATTTACACTTACGGACAAAGAATAAACTGGTCTCTCCTCAAACTGACTTTCAGAGGTAGTGGGGAGCGAAGCACTGTATTTATTTGTGAAATGCAGGCTTTAGAAGTCACATCAGCAAAAGCAAGCTTATGGTATTGACACCAACCTTACTAGCAGTGAACAAAGAAAACATTTAATCTTTTTTCCTAATGTTTTGGTTTGTCCGTTTAACACAGTACTTGACAAAGACCTTTGGTTCATATTACAACAGCAGCTCCTCAAGGAAACAAGTTTTGAACACTTTTATTTTCAGATGTTTTTAAACATCTGCTCGAGCAATTTAGTTACAGGTACCTTAAATCACTGCCTATGACTACTTCAATGTGACAAAACATTTTTAAGGAAAGATGCTAGTATTTTGGGAACCTCACTAGAAGAGGAAAGATGTCCTCCTCAGAGGATATTAAAAGCAGAGCCTACAAAAGAACTATACTACTGTGTAAAACTGTACTAATAAACAATAAAATCATTTTACAGAGATAGTAAAGAAATGTATCTACTTTAGGCTTGGCGTGACAGAAGCAGGATGAGTACAGCAGTACAAAACAAATCTGTAAGAAAAAAACTCTGGGCTTGAACAGAAAGCGGGATCAGCTTTACCTCAGCAGCTGACAATGGCAAAGGAGTAGAAAGAGCTAGTTGTACTGGGAAATCACAGGGCACCCATGGCAGACAGCATGATGCAGTCATGTGAAAGGCAAATGTGGTTTAGGGATGTATCAAGAGTTATTTCCAATACGCTAAGGAAGTATTAGTGACATCACGCATGGCCTTAATCTTCCTTGAACATAGAGTCAAGGCAAACTCGGGCTGGAATGGATGAAGAGAAGTGCTGGCGGAGCACTGAAGGTCCTGTGATTTCAAAGAGAAAAGACACAATGGATTCAAGAGGAAGAAAAGCTACTTAGCTGAAGGGTAATACTTGTGTAAATTGGGAGGAAATGAGTGTAAACTGGCCACAAACACAGCGAGGCTTCAAGTTGGAACAGGCTCCTAGCTGCTGGAGTAGTGTTCAACTAAGAGTAAGAACAAAACCTGAAAAACTTGTTTTTTAAGAAACCTGACAACCTCTCCGCAGCAGAAAGGACATTTCTCTTCTAGCCTTGCATGTGAGGTCTTTCTTGTGGAGTACATGTTGCACATTCCTGCATCTATGACCGTGAGAGCATCTAGCACCCATCCTGCATCTCTAAATGACAATTCAGAGCTAGGTATTACAGGAAACTTTCAAATTTCTCACAACAAACATCAGAAGAAATACAACCCCGATGAAGCCAAAGAAACGCATGGGATTAAATACAATACTTAACTCTCTTCTACACACAGAGAAAAAGTCACAGAATAGAAAAACAGACTTCAGTTTCCTTTGTAATACATGATAAACCAGATTCCCTGTCTTGCACTCCTTTCGCCGCTGATCTGGCAGATTAACAGTCATTTTCTCAATTAAATTCAAACTCAGCAGTTACTGACTCTGTTTTGCTGTAGCTGCACTCTGACAACTGTCTTAACTGCACCTTCTGTTTTTGACTGAGACTCTCCTGAACAAAACATGGTGAGCTTTAGGAACAGAGACATATTTTTTAACGGAGTCATGATTTGAACCTTTATGGTCCACTGTTTGATAACTAAAGAAGCAAGGAGCGTAGCTATGTTCTTACGCAGCCACTGAATCTTGATGATGCTGAATGCAGACCAATCCCACCAAGTGAAGAAATCAAATCTACAATCCTTAAGAAAATGTCCAAGCCATCTGGGACAGTACAGCCATCAGCTCTACTTGTGCCTCTTTTGTTTTCCTCTCCTATGGTACCGAGAACGATGAAGCTTAGCCCCTCTCAGCTTAGTGAACACTGCAACTATTCAATACACTCCTATAATCAACAGACAAAACCCATCAACCTCAAAAAGCGTGCTGTATGCTGTAGCAGGGCCAGGTCTTTGGAATATTTTTTCATGAAAACGTCAGGCAACTGTTTTTTTACAGCGAAAGAGACAGAAAGAAAACAAGACCAAAAAAACAACAAACCTCAAACCCTTGACACATAAAAAGAAGGAAAAATTCAAGTAGAGAAACAATAAAGATTAATAGAACAGGAATACACCATAGAAATATCTACTCCAACAGGGATGGCTCTGGTGCTATTATTAAAAGTTAAGATTCATCAGGTTTAAAACTTCTGCAGGGGTTTAATACATTTATCATGCATGTACACAAATAATTTTTCAGAACGTCATTTGGACTGAGTGGCACTGATGTGACTAACTCCTCTAAAAACAGCTTTCAAATTGAAATGTTGGCAGTCTCACCACCTACTCTTTTGCAAGCGATTAGCCAAGGGTTAGTAAGCACAGTATTTTTACTCATTAGTTGGGAAACTACTCCACATAAACAATCTTGGGGGATGATTTTACTCTCTAGTACATGCCACTGATCCAGTTCCTCTGTAAAAATAAAAGGTCTGCATCATTTTTGCCAGATTAAGGATTACTACATTCTCCCATACTTAGAAAAGGAGTAAAAAACCTTATGCAATGTATTTGAAACAGCATACACAGAGCAAATCGAACTTAGATGGCATGGTTAAAATAAAAAATAAATGTATTTACAATATTGCATAAGTAATATAACACAAACTTCCATTCCACAATCAATCACATCAAAATAAAATAAAAAAATATTACAACTCACATATTTTAATACCTATAAATCCTTAATTTCTATCCAACATTTTCTTTATAAAAGCCTGTTTAAAATATTAAACTTTTGATTCACTCTAGCTTAAACAGAATCTAAAATGATTTGTTAAGTATTACTGATCACTTAGTCTTTGTCTTAGGTTTCTAGATTTTCCATTTTCAAATTTCCTCTTTTTAAATGTTGGCACCCCTTCTGTCAGGTCTCCAAGGGAGGTGACTGTCTTCTCTTTAAATATCACTGTTGCATCTTCTGGAACCTCTAGCACCGGAGGCGGTAGATTGTCACTCTCTGTACTAGGAAGCTCCAGGTCCACTTTTTCACTGAGAGAAGAGAGGAAAACATAAAAGGGTTAATCTACATGGAGAAAACAACATGGTGTACTGCACAGTAACATCCATATTTAATTGTCAAAGCAGCTTTGAGCTAGATGCAGTCTTCTAGCCAAGATCATTATCACAACAGGGATCAAGAAAAAAACAACAACCATGTTCTTTGTTTCTTCTGTGTGGGCTGCCGTAAAAAGTAAAAAACTAAGACCCCATTCTGTACAGAGCTTATAGCATGGCCCTGGCACTCATCATGTAAATAGTCCTGCAAAAGACAACAGGGCTGCATGTGTGTAAATTTATGAATGTTGAAAGACAGTAGTCAGTGAGTAATTAGCAACGGTTCACTGCCCAAAAGCTACTGAGTAGTTTTCCGTTAGCGTCCATCCTTGAGGGTCTGCACAACAGAACAGAGAACAGGCTTACCGAATCAGCCAGTGACCCCAAGTTGGGAGAAGCAGCTTTGGAGAACAGGATCACAGCTAATACTGATCTGAACAAATCAAAGACATCGTCTCAAAGTGACCAATCGGTTTTAAGGGTCAACAGCAAAACACTGTGTTCTACAAGAATAACCCGTGGCACAAACATACAATGGAGGACAACCAAACAGTTCGCAGAAAATGATCTAAACCACAAGTCCATCAGGAATCCAACCAGCATAACACTGCTGCAAAGAGATACACATTGTATTCCTGCCCAATCCGTACAAGAAATCTTGCAGTACTACTGAGTGTTAGTCTGACGTCAGCTCGTGTGCTATACCTAGTTTCAGGTCCTGTGCTTCAAGGAAGACATCGATCAGCTCAAGCACCCAAACAAGAGTCACGAGAATGATTCCAAGTCAAGCAAGTCAAGAAAATGTGACTGTTGCAGTATCCCGAAAACGTAAACCTCCTGAAAGTGGTTGGCACTGTGCCTAGTCTCAATTTAAAGTAAATAATGAACAACTGCATTTGTCTTATTTACATGTGTGTTTATCTCAAGCCTGTATGTTAATGTACAGACTGATATATAAGGTTCAGTAGCTGAAAGCACTTTTTATTGGACAGTGCTTTCCAAAAACCTGAAAGAATTTATCAGCTCTGGAGTCAAGGAGTGGTTAGCTGGTCCAATACAGGAGGCGTTATGTGAACATCATCATCTCCAAGGAAGTATATCAGTGCTTAATTTAGTCGAACAGTGTCACAACTCTATCTCCTGAATAATTTAGAACTGAAATGCTGGAGAATGGGGTGAGTATGCGGGAAAAGACTGTTTTCATTCTCTGAAACCTAATTTCTCCAGACTCCTAGAGGGCCCCACAACAAGAAACTGGCCATAAAAGACAGCATGCTTCACAAAAAAATGAGCCATCTCAGGCATTATGCAGCAAAACAAAACAAAACAAACTTCCTGATCAAATGCATGTCATGAAAACATCTGCAGTACATCAGTTGGATGTGGGAGAAAGAGATGGCTTCCAGATTTAAAATTGGCATTAACTAGATTACACGTTTTGTCTTTCATCTCCTTAGTTAAATCATTACAGACAGTGTCTCCCACCACATTGTAAGAGCCTCCAGGACTTACCCATAGTGATAGCAGAAAAGGTTGTAGTAGATTTTGTTTTGGTTTTGCTTGACTTTGTTTTGAAATGAGGGAAATTAGGGAACAAGAAAAACAGTTGAACCAGAAGTCTTTTACTGCAATACTGGATGAAAGCAAGACCACAAAGTGCGAAATGTTTGTGGAAGTAACTCAGCCAAACATACCAGCCTTAGGTAGAAATTGCTCAGAGTCTAAAAAAGCATACTCATTATGTCAGCAACTATAGATCCCATAGGAATTAATTCAAAGCAATGCTAACCCAGTACGATCAAGATAAGGTTGCTGGTGGTCCTAGAAGATCAAGATAGATCTTGAACTCCAGGCAGACTTAGCCCAACTAATTACTCATCAGAAAGAAACAGAATTTAGCCTGGAAGCTGGAGGCTCTGAGAAAACTGCCTGTGCCATTCCAAGACTGGAAGCAGTTGAAAAAAGTCACAAGAGCTCCAGAGGCAGCTGAACCAGGTTGTTGAAGGAGACAATGTTAAGAAACATAAGCTTAGAGTAACTACATTTAAATAGTTGATACTCAGCCTCTGAGAAAAATGACGGATGACAACGATCCTTTAAATCACCTAATTTACTTTGTACTCATGGTGAACTTCCACACTAAAACCAAAACACCACCACTATCCGCCATGGAGAGCTATTACTTAAAATAGTCACTGTTGAAAGAACTGTATTTTGGCTACGTTTCCATGCACTGCTGTGCTAATTCTGCCAGAATTCAGAAGCAAAAGCTTCAGCTCTTGAAAACAAGTATTCTGGAAACAAGTATTATGAAACTAACTATGATAAAAAGATCCTCACCATGGTTCTTCATCTTCTTCTGCTTCTTCTTTAACTGCTTTCCATTTTCCATAAGGGTTGGTCTTGTTAGGTGCATCACTAGAGGTTTCTTGGGAAGCTGATGTACTGTCCTCTTTATCAACAGTTTCTTCTGGCTTAACTTCTCGCCATTTCCCATAAGGACTTAACTTTTTAGCTCTGGGAGATTTTTTCCCTTCCTCTGATTCTTCACCATTATCTCCTTTCCTCTAGAGAGGAAAAAACCCACCTTAAGCAAAAATGCCTAAATAAAAACACAATGTAGCTTTATTTTACATCTTTTATTTACTATTATCTACTATTCATACTTTTCAACCAAGAGTAACTTGAAGCAATAAACTCATATTGTAATGAAATCTTTAAATTTTTCTTGTTGAGCTTTCATCACATACAGAGTTGAAAAAAAATCTTAAACGTTACAAAAAATTAAAGTTCGAAAATCCCATCTATCAAGGCTGAAGTTAGCAAGGAGTAGCCAATACAAACTTACTCAAAAACAAAGTTTAGCATGTCTTAAAGAAAAAAAAAAAGGCAGGGAGAGCAAAAATTCACATACGGCTTTCTGTGCATGCAGATACACACACTTTACAGCTAACACCTGGTAGTAGTTTATAATGATGCACAGTGATACAAAAATATGTATTTTAGAATTAACACCTGTCCATTAATACATTTTATATTTAAACTCTCTCTGCCTGTTCTGAACTACCAGTTTCAGAAAAACCATCTGACCCAACCAGAGCCATAATCACACCCTTTATCTTAAGTTTTAAATCTGAAGACAAAAATATATAATCGATGCAGATTTTGTACCATGTGCTGCCAATGTTTTTCTCAATTAATAAGGAAACTACAACCATGTCATATTCAGTCAAAAGCATTCCCTAAAGGTCTCTTGGCAGTTACATTTACCAATGAAGGTTTGAAGTCGTCCTCACACTGAAATCCAGACCATTTTGTGGGTTATTTCAGCGAGATGACAGTGCCCTTTCTCAGAGAACATGACATTTCGTGGAGAATTCAAGCTACTTCTGGTGGGCTGAAGGAAAGATCATGCTTTCTATTCTGGAACAGTGCCACTAATGGGCCAAATAATTAAATAAAGATTCATTTTACTTTCAAACAAGTGCAAACTTCTACTTTCAGTCATACAGTTTAACCTCATTACGATGAGTACAGCCTATCACAAGAGATAAAAGACAAATCATCTTACACTAGAAAATTAATACTGTATGTAAAATAAATCTGAAGAGAAAACTTACCTTGAAATTTGTTTCTGAACTCTGTGCTTCATTTTCACTGTCTTCTGAGTCTGATTCAGATGCTTTGGAATCTGTTTCTGCAAACTCTTCAGAATGCTTGTCACGTTGACTCTTCTCGTTTGAAGATGAAACAAAACCATCCGGTTTCTCCCATGTGGATACTGTCCAAGATATTTGAACAACCACATTATTTATGTTTCCAATTCTGATCTGTTACTGCTTTGACAACATTACCTTTCAGGAGCAGTGCTGCCTTATGCAAAAATAACAGCAAATAATTTAGCACAAGGCTTTTGCCTTTGGTACATTTCTAGTAATAAACATAAACAGAAAGATAACATTTCCCTTCCTAGCAGAGATACAGTCATGACAGCTGAGTTCACTGTTGAGAAAGCTTGTTCTAATTAGCGCTTTAAGAAAAATATCACGCACAGCGAACTGCGGTCCACAAGACTGTGGTCCCTCTCATCCTCACACAGGACAGACAAATTGCCCTCTCGAGGTGTCCATTTGATTTGGGTTGTCCATTGATTACAAAGACAGGATAATGTAAAGAACAATAACTGCAAGCCTCAGCAGTCCAGGCAGATAAACCCCTTCTCCGTGCTACTTGGCTTGGTAACATTAGGTCTCTAATTGAAGAGCTGTCACGCAAACAAGGAAATACAAACATCAATCCGAAAAGACCTGAGAGTATGTACAGGATATGACCTCATTTTCAATTAAAAGGTAGTATTTCAGTAAATATACTGAGAGGAAATATTTAAGTAAAAGTTGACTCAATGGTCTTAAAACTGATTTTAGTAACACTAAGGCAAAAGTACACCAACTTTCAAGCTATAATTTTATATAAGCTTTCAAATGTAATAAACCTACTATTTTTCCAATTATTTTGCCTACTGCCAAAGAAATCCCTAACTGAAAACAACACTTAACAGGTATGCGCCTAGATGTATCTTGAAGAAGTAAAGGTGTAAGAAACTGGCAATGACTGACTTTGCATGAACAGAACAGTCTCTTAAGGGTACTGCTGTCATCTAGCTTTAGACAAGGACCTGAGAAAGTTCACTTTCCTAGGTGCCACATACAGCCAGTGGAGTAAGGTGCAGCCTTCCAAACCATGACTTGCAGGGCTAAGCCTGGAGATATCCGTCTCCTAAGTTACATGCCTGAGATGAGACACTATGACTATTTCCCTCGGTTAAAAATTTGTCTTGCCTTCAGAGGATGGGATTAGCGTTAACAGAACTGACAAGTAATTTTCAAGCATTTCCAAGACACTTACAGTTATATAAAAGTAAGGGATCACTTTCAAATGTCACAAGCCAAAATTTTACCAGATATGATGATTACAAAGACATTCTTCATGTGTCCATGAAGAACTTTAAAAAACACCACAACCAAAGGCATAAAATGTATCTGAACTTAGAAGGCAATGTTTAAAAATAACCAGCGTCTCCTCTCCCTTTCAAAAGAAGAAATCACAAATCATTTGGGCAGGGGAGCGGCATGTCAAAAAACTGAAAAGTTTTGGTTTTTTTCTATTCTTGGCATTGTTAGGAATGCCACTTCATACCCAACAGCAGAAGGAAAACTAATAGCCAGCATAAAATCACCTCTCTCCAGAGAGGCATCATTGACCTTAAAATGATTCAAACAGATTTAGAAAACAGATGTCTGTTCTGAGGGACTTACCACTAAGTTCCCCATCTAGGGAAAAAAAAGAGTAAAAGAAGTAGGAGGTAAGATTCGGGACTCTCTTATCAATGCTATGTTAGCAAGAGCCAAAGTTTAGGACATTCTTATACAGTCCTACATACTTGTCAAAACAAAGTCCTGCCCCTTTCTGGTTTCCAAACTATAATTTCAATATATATATGTAGAAAAGAAGAACCCATAGTTTAGAGTTGTAAGTTGAATGTGTAAAAAAACCTATGAAGCACAAACGTATACACACTGACAATACAGCTATAAAGCCATCACTGACTTAAGCAGCAAGTATATTTCAACTAAGTTAGCAGCTTAAAAAATACAAAACTTAGTAATGGCCTTAAAATGCAGTTATTTGCAAAACAAAATGCTTCTCTGAAAACCCTCTCTTCTGAAACAAGAGCTTAACTGGAAAACAAGCTCTCCTTACCTCCTGTTTGCGTGTTATAGTAATAGGTATGACCATCTTCAGTGACACCTTCTACCCACTCTGCTGCCTAAGAAAAAGATACAGGAGCTAATTAAAAAAAGTTTTAAGGATCAGTCAAAGCATCACTTACAAGACTATTCAACCCTTGAGTATTTTTTGTTTGTGATAATTTTACTCTTTTAAAGCTTGAACCCCTAAAGTTGCTAGAAAACATTCCCTTCGACTCAAATGAAATTGAATTGCTTAACTTAAAATGTTGCAAATGCACATACACAATTTTTTTCAAACAGGGGGTAATTAGTATGAGGCAGTATAGTAAATGCTGCCACACGGTTCAAATTATTATATAGGCCACTATTTTACACATTTTTTATTTTCCAAAAGTAATCACCCCTGAGGTTGTAATTTCCTGTTTGTGTCACTGTCTTTAGTAGAGATTGATAAAAAATTCCTCTGGAAGACTGAGGGTTTTGTGAGGGCTACAGAAAACTAATACCAATAAATACTATCACAAATTAAACATAAACAAACAAAAAACCCCTTCTAAAATTTATCGCAAAATGGATCTTCACCCAAAATAATTGAAGAATCAAACTTTGCAGGAAAGCATGCCAATGAATTTACTTCTTTAGTAAAGCATCAATTTCAACAAAGCACTGTTCGTCCCTCCTGAGTAATAAATACATATGAAATGTGGCAGAAGTTGCTGGTATGTCTTTGTGGATGTGTAATTAAAATAAAAATGTTTTGCAGAATCAGCCACAGCTAGATAATCAGTCATTACCCACAACTTAACATCTTATGAATCTGATTTTCATCAACACTTACACATAGAACTACTTCACTGCTCCTTAAATGAACAAATACTGCCTAGCTCCCCCTTATTAGGCAGAAGATCTATGCAGATTCACCATACATTATTTTTGCATTAATAAATGTCTGTGTGTGTGTATACAGACATATACACATACAGATAGGCTTTTGCACACATACCTATACGTTTGCTTAATACTCTTTTAAAACTTTGTCATTTTTTAAAAAACACAACAAAATCAGAAGTTAAAGTTCTCGCACCCACTCTGTAAACAGGAAAAATTCTAACAGCTGGTTCAGAGCAGGCAAAGGCAAGAAAGCTTTCAGTGAGCAAGTTTCCTCAAGGTTTAGCTCTCAAAAGTTTCAGCGTGCTACTGTCAACAAAAGAAGCAAAAGGAATATTTATTTTATGTAAGCAGAAAAATGACAAAAACCTAGTCTTAAGCAGAACCTATCCTTTTTGTTAGAGTTAGATCCTGAGCATTTTAGATCTGGTTCTTAGAGGTTTTCAGCAGGTATTTGATGCTAGGCACACTGAGTATCCTACTACACAAATGCTAACAACCATGATGTCAATCTAACTAAAGTTATAGGTAGTCTTCAACATGCCTTTTCGTTACTCTGTTATCTCCACCTCTTAGGAAGTCTGAGCAGCAAGCTAACGTGCTGTAAAACAAGGAGGGCCTGTGAATTCACTCACGCTTGCACTACATATTGCAAGCACGCCCTTTAATTTCTGGGCAGTGAGTCCTCGTTAAGAGATCTGGAATGTTCCCAATATCTTTAGTTCAGACTAAATAAGGGAGCAATCAAATGCTTGTTTATAGCAATAGCGAAAATAACTCAAGACACCACAAAGTCACCGAGCAGGGTGAGGGAGGAATGGCAAAATACGGCTATGTGGCATCAGAGAGATATCCGTGGCTGGAGGTCTGCATTTATCATAGAGCTGAGATGAGCTAACTTCAAATTGTTGCCAAGAAGGGAGCTCCTTCTCTCCTCCAGCTGTTCTCTCTGCACCAGCATTTCTCTGATTAGCCAGAGAGCTGACAGCAAGGAAGGAAGCCTACAAAGCACTAACCTAAACTCTGATGTCTTCACTCCCTGAACTAGTTCACTGTCAGGGCAAATATGCACCAAGGACCACAAAGATTAGTCACAGGACCATCTCCTTCAGTGGAAGGCTACGGTAAGACTGGCTTATAAATATTGCAAAGCTACGCCTTGACTGAAAAGATAAAGTTGAAGTGCTGGTTAACAAGCAGTGCAAAACCACAGGATAAAGGAATCAGAAAGCCAGAGTAGCATGTGATGGGCAGCTCTGACATGAAGTGTGCAGTCTCTCAGGAATGAGCACTGGATGGAAAAAGACTGCATTCTGGAGATAAAACATTGCCTTAACAAGAGATGGAATACAGGCAACACTTCACGTACACTTTGTGAATTAGTTCAATTGCCTAAAAATATACACAATTATAACCACTTCCTCCTCTGACTCTATAAGTAAACCAGTACCAAGCATAGGCTACCTTCTGAGATGCAACAGCATAGAGCTACAGGATGTTAAACACTCTGGAAAAGCCAGAGTTTTTTGATCTCTAACATAATATCCAACATTAGCAAGCAAAATGGACTTTAAATCATACTGTACATATGACACCTATCGTGAAAATGGGAAAACATAACATCACTTCACAGGAGTGTTGTAAAAATCCTATTTTTAATGTTGTGAAGCACAAAAATCCTGGAATGGTAAGTACCAGGTGAAAGCCCATTAATAGTAAGAAGAAAGCTTTCTGTCTTTGGACTATTCTGCAAGTTTTCCTGTGCCTTAAATAAGAAAGTAAAGTAATATGCTAAAAGGTTGCTTTCACATCGGTTCTATGACCTTAAGAAACACTGGAAAAAGAGAAATTATCACATAACGGTATCCTAAAGCAAATACAAAAAATAGGCACTCTTTTTTAACTATCTGACAATGCAATCTCAATGTTTCCTAAGATAAAGGAGTCTTAACTATTTCAAATGTATAAGATTTAATTTTTTAATTACATTTCATTCACAAAAGGTTACAGTTTTATGGCCTGAAGTATAAAAACACAACCACCGCTATCACCTCTCTCCCCTTGATAAACAAATTAGCAAAAAAAAAATTCTAAAGTAAAATTTCAGGTTTCATCAAGTCTATCATAAAACATTCTATATATTCAAATTATGTTTTCCTAAGTTTACTAAGACCAATTTATCTTCTGCAATCAGAAGACCTGCAAATTGCCTAGCTTATTTCTGATAAATGTTTACAAGGCAAAGAAAAGTATGAACAACATTATTTGATTACCGTTTGTGAGTTTTGAGAGTTGCCTTGGAATCCTTTAGGTTTCTCCCACTGTGATTCTTAAAAAACAAAAACATATTTCACCCATCATTCAATCCTGTTTATGTTTAATAATCTTTAGAAAAAACAGATCTAAAGGGTTATGACACTGGTGTGTGCACACATGAAAACAACTAATATAGATACACCTCAAAGGAATATAAATCATCCTTGATCAAACTATGGTATGAACAATAAACCAAAGTATCATAATTACAGTTGGCTTTACCAGGACTAACGACCTTCCAGACTCCATTAAACTATGGCCTATACACAGATACTGGACCTTTGGTACAAAAAAGGTGTTTGGTGGTTTTTTTTTAAAGGGTAGCATAGGCCAGAAGAAACTAAACACACACAAGATTTTTACTTTGTGGAAGTTGTCTTGTATGAGGAAAGACTATGGTAAATACTAATGTAAATCCTTAAATTTATAAGAAACAGTTTGTAATATTCTCATCAATCATAAAAGAGGGTTGCTTTTATGCTCTAAAGTAGATCATAACACATAGTTCCTGAACAGTAGTCAGTCATTTAGGTAAATCTGGTAAATGTGGAAAGAAACAATCAGACACCAACCCAACTGCTCTTATTTACTTGGGCACAATCAATTTATTTCACATTCCTGATCAGAAAGCTTCTTTAGGAAGAACACAGCTATCTTTTGTATACTTAACCTTTGAAAGGCTAAACATTTCCAGAAACTGTGGAATTACTGCATTCTTCCATTATTAACAAACAGCAAAACCCCTCTGAAGTTCTGGATTCCTAAGTCTTGAATGTTAAACATCAAAACTCCATCTAATTGTTCCCATTTTAATAGTTTTCATTTATACACAATTTATATCTGTATTTGTTCCTCACTAGTTTTTACCTCCTGTTCTTGTGTTGTAGTAATATGTATAGCCTTCGGGAGAAAATCCTTGCACCCACTCCTTCGTTTCAATTTTTGGTGGCATTGAGGTGTCCTGAGGTGTCTTTTTTTTCTTTTCTTTCTTTTCCTTCTTTTCCTTCTTCTCTTTCTTTTCTTTCTTTCCTTTAGTTTCCACTGTGTTACTTTGAGTTTTACCCTGTGTCGAACTGGGACCTACATCATCTTAAAGAAAATAATACTCCCTTTTTAAAAAAGAGTAATAACCTGAGTTTAAATATTAGTCACTCTTGAGCAATAGCAAATAGGAAATTTTGTTCCTATGAGTATTTTCACTCATTAGTATTACACTCGTAGCAGGTAAACTTAAAAGATTATATTCAAAGCATCTTGCATTGTAGCAATACTATATTGTCATAAGAAAGTCTAAATATCACAAGATGAGTAACATAAAGAGAAAAACTGGAAGGACCAACGAGCTCTAACTAAACAACAACAAAACCTAAGAGAGTTATGAAAAAGATAGCTTCTACAGGAGCTTGAAACTACAAACTTTTTTTAAAGGATAATATGTCTTCATGCCGACAGAACAAAGGTACTTGCTGAACCGCAAGCTGCGTAGGAGATTCTTGTCTCCACTGTTTGACACCAGTGGGAACCCAAACTCTCCTACTCAATAGGTACTTTTGTCTCCAACTGGCAAAAATGAAACATAAACTAAGGGAAGCTGCACTGCTGATTCAAAGCACCATGTGTTATCACATTGTTTAATTTTTCTACTCCAAATTGTATTGTTCCATGGACCAGAGGATAGCGTAGCCGAAAACATTCTGTACTGCAACTTCCTACTACTGGCAATTTGCAGACTCCTTTTTTTTTTTTTCTCTTTTTTTTTAAATGAGCAAACACAATCCTGGAGGCCTCCTCTCATGTTCCTAAAACCTAATTTTAGAAAAAACTTTCCTACTCAATATTCTTTCAATTCTGTCCTTAATCTTTTGGCAGCTATATGAACTACCTGGCTTAATTCCAAGCCTTTTCAAATCCTCTTGATAGGCTTTCATTGCAGCCTCCTCCATTGCTGCAAATTCTTTTGACATGTTTTCTTCTTCTTTTGCTTTTTCCAAACTTTTCTTTTTAATCTAAAACAAAACAAAAAACCCAAGAGAATAAATTAAACAAGTCTGATAATGAAAGAGATTAAAAATAAGCATTCATGCAAATAAGATATTTGAGTTACCTCACTAATTCTTTTTGCCACATTTTCTTTATGATTCTTTCCTCTTTCATGAAACTCAATGCTCTTCAAAGCGAGAAAAAACCAAGAAAAATAATACATATTATACAATTTTAATTCAGTTAATTTTAGCTAGTTATAATCTAGTTAGACTAAATTTAGCTGAACAAGCCTAAACGTAACCTGTTCTGAAAACACTTACAGCAAACACTACAGCTATAAAATAGCTATAGGAATTCAGGAACACTGCGAAACATTCAACATCAAAATTATGAAAAATCAGTAATGCTCCAAAATGGTATCATAAAATTTCATAGTCTGCATTTGTAAGCTTTAAAATTTTCAAATAATACTGTCCAGCACACATATTAGAGACAAGTAACAGGGAATCTGGGCTCCCTCTCCGTGCTATCTTTCCAAGTATCATCCCTTGATTTTTTTTTTTTACACTCTCAGTTTTCATGCAAACTTTTAAAAACCATATGGCTTATGTAGTGTTCCAAATATTAGCTATGGTCCTTAATTAGATTATGCTACGCTCCACAAATATCCCATGAACTTAAACTAGTACGCAGGTCCACAGATCTGAGAGAGAGAGAGAAAGAGAGAGGAAAAAGCAAAGTGGGAGAGTTGGGTAACTAAGGACAACAGAACAGTCCGCAAGCCAAAAAGCTGCCAGAAAGAGTGAAGCTAGTAGGAACTGGAAGGAGTTCAGAAGCTCCACAGGTACAACAGTGGAAGTCCTCATGTGGTTCTCACAAAAACCATCTGAACTCATTTAGGTGTGCAGATGTTAGGTCCCTAAGCCTGACCTAGTAACCCTAGAATTTCCTTGCATGAACCAATGTGCAGAGGATGCACATCCAGGGGATGATTAATCTCATTTAAAGACAGACTTTATAATTTACCCAAATCCCCACCTTTAACGTGTATTTCTCTTCACTGACTACAAGAAACCTAAACCAGTTAGCTCACACGTGTCATTCTGAACTGCAGGTATCTAACCGTAAGCCAGATGAAGCACAGCTCCAGGAGCTCCCCTGGCATCAAGTCAGGAATGCAAAACTTCTAAGTAAGAAACCAATGGGTCTAGTAGTCTGAAAAAGGCATCTGCAAGTCAGAAACACCTTTCCGTAACCCACTAACATTTCTGTGGGCTGTGTGAAATGAAAGAAACCTGCTTTAAATGCTTATAGTGCTGGCTGTACCAGGCCTACCATATATAAACAGTACGTATGCCAGGTTTTGCTTTCTACTTGCATATGAAGGCTAGGAACAGGCACAGACAAAGTTTCAAGACAGATCAAATGTTAAGTTACAGAACCTGAAGAAAAAGCAGGGTCAGGTATTTCAGTTCTTATCTGTACTGCCAAATAGAACAGCACACACCATCTTGTACACAGGTATGTGGCTCTCACATAATATATTTTAAATAGCACAAGTATTACAAAGGCATTTTTTAAAAGCAAATTTCATGCATCAATAGATTATTATCAAAAGTTATGCTAAAAGCCTGTAATTCAAATTCCTAGTACTTCAAAATCATTGACATAGTATGGTAGACCATCGTACAGGTCTGTTGTCTGCTATCCAGCACTTGCAGTAATCGCAGAATTTTTTTGGCTGAGATTTCCAGTAATCGGCCCTGGGGAGAGAAAAAAAAAAGATGTATAATCTGAAACAATACTCAAAGCCACAGGTTTTTATATATATATATATATATAGCTTCAGAAACTAAATTTAGTCTTCTTTGGGAGATTGAGTCCTGAGAGTTTGTTTTTCTTTTTCTTTTTTTTTTTTTAAAACAAAGTATGGGGAGCAAGCAAGAGTAGCTATATTAACTACTCTGTCCCATAAAGCACAGTCCAGTATTGGGACTGTGCCCATCTGACCCCTGAAGACTGCAAAATTTTTACAATGGAGGTGATGCTACAAGAACCAGAAATAAAAGACAAAGCAAGCCAGAGATAAACAAGTAGCTCTAGATACCCTACTTAAACACAGAACCGTCAGAAACATGCAACTTGCACTATTTTTCATAAAAATGTGTACAATAAATGTTTCTAAGTGTAAAACTTTAGATTTAATGTCGAATTCCACTTTGGATACTGTACACAGTGAGCTTAGCAACACAAAGGTGCCATTCTGGACAACATGAGCTACTGTGGGGAACCCTAGAACAGACTCTGACCTGCGGGGTCACAGACACAGCAGTAAATTGTTTGGATGTTTCAGCGTAAAAATGTATTTCTGAACCATGCAATTTTGGTAAGTTGCATATGTGTGAGGAAACTTGGGGAAAACTCTTCAGAGCCAAAAAGTTGGTACATAAGTGTATTTAACAATAAGACAAACAACCCCTCTAATGGCTGTTTCTTCATCAAAACCCGCTTTCTAATGCCAGATGAGGCTTGTGCAGAAATAACTCCCTTTCTCATTGGCTTGCAGCTACAGAAGCAATGCTTTGGTTCAACAGAACACATTCTGACAACAGACTTCTATGTTTTTAAGTTAAAATGAAAAAGAATGAGGGGCGAAAACAAAAACAATTCAAGATTACACTGAGAATATTAAAAAAGATCAGTCAAAAAATGAATCTGTGCCTTCCATCTGAAGGTCAATGTACAGAGTTCAAGGAAAATACTTCCTGACATTTTTAGTCAATAAAAACAATTCTTCCATGTATGATCGGACCCTCAAACCCTATGATACGTGCAAGCAGATCTCTAGTAACAGCAACAGACCTCATCGACTCAACTCCTAAAATTTAAGCAGATCTCAAAAGATGTTCTCCTACCAGTATTTTCCACCGATTTCTTTCCTAAATGCTACTGGACATCACACCTGTTGCAAACCACTGTAGCTACACATAGAGTGATCGTGCTGGAGAACCTGAGGGCACACCTGGGGCTTAAGTACAAATCCAGGTCTTGACGACAGAAGCCTTTTGTCTTCATCTCCTATCGGTTCTGATAAAGAGTGGAGCTGGCTCTCTGTCATTACATACAAAATAAATGTAAATGATACTCTGTGCAGAAGACCTGATATCCCGGGAACCTCAAATCCTCCATTTCATGATTAATGATGTTAATTGTGTAAATTATGGTCCCAATTCTGCAACTTATGACCATGAGGAGTGTTATATGCTGAGTAATTCTCTTAAGGATTTTCCACTTGAGTTCATACCACTCGAAAAAAGAGCAACCTCAGCTGAAATATCCACCGAATAACATCTGCCATTGTAACAACGGTGGAGCCTGCAAAGCACCGACAGTGCTGCAATGAGTGCAAACCAAACCAAAGAGGAGTGTTTGGAAAGGAGCAGCAACTGAAGCGAGACCCCACTTCAGTGATACGCTACAAGTGCTTCACAGGCTCTGGTCACAAACCTGAAAGTTAATCCAGATCGATGACAATGTTCAAGTATGTGATTATTTTATTAATCTGCCAAACACAGGCTTGAGAGTAGATGCTGTTGAAGTGGTACAGAGGTCTTTTACACTTGAATAATTGTGTACAAATCAATGGGAAACAGAGTTATTTTAAAATGTCATTGCAGTCAAAACAGTACAGCTTTTAAGACTCCTCATCTTCTGCCTGCACTTACATCAGTAGAGTTAAGGTTGATTCTTGTTTTCAGCTTTACAGCTGGGCCAACCTGCTAAGGACCAGAAAGCTGACCAGCTAGCCATCGCCACCACAACTATCTTTTCCCCTTTCACTAAAGCGAAGGGACCGTCCAGAGTGCATCAAGACTGGCTTATCCAGGTTCGCAGGGTTGAGGTTCAGCACTATACACATTTACCCAGGTGTGGCTCCCAAACGAGAGCTCGGTGACACGGACTGGGAGAGGTGCGCAAGTTTCGCTGCGAAGCTCTACCTCCTGGGAAGGGTTCTGACAAAGCCCGCTTGGAGCCCGATTGTCCAGAGCTGGCTGAGTAAGTCAGCTTGGCAACCCGCTACTGGACACCCAGGGAGCAGAGCAGTGCCGATACAGATGGCTACTGAGCAACTTCTGGACAAACTGCTGTAAGGTTTCATCCAGAGTTGGAAATCCTGTACTAACTTGCAAGAAATTTGTGTCTCCTGAAGAACAGTGATTTTCTTTCAGCTTTTACTGGTCAAACCACTCAGGGGCAGAATGTGCAGCAGTTCAGAGGGCTAAAGAGGAAGGAGAGAAAAAGAGGGCATGAACATCAAATTGTTTTCTTGAAACTTTAGTGAAATGACAAACTCTTTGCTGGCAACAGCCGCAGAGTGCAAATAACGTCAATGTTAAAACCATTTTCAGATTTTGAAACTCATTTAAAACTTCAGAGGGAGTGAGAAGATGGGGAGGAAGAAGTAGCAACTCTGCATTAACAACACCTGCCACATTGGCCATTTCAAAAGATATGAAAACGCTGAAACTCAGAGAGAAAACTCCTGAAACTCAGGTATTTTTAGTTTGCATAATTCATTTCTTGAGCCACGAGAATCAAGCAGCCTACACTGCAATGACCAGGTTACGCACTCCAGCACTTGAAGCCCATATCTGGGAGCACACAAACGGGACAGGTTCTGTCAACGACGTTCAGAAAATAACCTGCAGAGTAACTCCAGCAGTACTGGGGTCCAGGGCCCCAAACTGTCAACCTGCGAGCTGCTTCTCATCACAACTTACAGTACTACTTATGTTTTAACAGGTGGTGCAATCAGCTTTCCTCATATAGGGAAGCTTAAAAAACCCTCACAAAGAAGCTATCTTCAGCTGAGACAGCTTTGCCAAGCTTTACTTTGAGACTGGGCTGGAGGTGTTTGTTCCTACCACATACCAGCCAAAATTAAAAGGGTGGTGGGGTGGTGGTGGTGGAAACATAACAACTGTTTCAGGTGGATCTGAACACAAGAAAAAAAAAAAAAAAGGAATTTGGCTGTGCAAACAAAATTTAGAAGCATTTGCTTTGAATAGCTCTGTTCTAAAACGTCAGACTTGAAATTTGGCAGGGATGCAGGGGGGTTTGTATCAGGGATGTATCTGTCCAAATTATAAGCCTTTGGGCTTAAAAAATATCATACGCATGCTCAGCAGTTGTCTTTGGTTTTAATATCTACAACTTCTGAAGACTTTACACAAAGTTAGTATCTTACAGCTTTCTGCAGGTTTGGGCATTGAACAGCTTGCACGTGCATCATCTCCTTGAGTACAGGTGTGTGAAGTGAGTAATATATAGATTGAAGTTCTTGACTACACAAGGAAATGAATTCAGAGTAGCTGCTGTGTCTGCTCTGTATCAGCCACTCAACAGGACACAGTATTCAGAAATAGTAACAAATTCTATTTGGGAATAGTGTGTACTTTAAGAAAAGTAATAGGTCTGTAATGGAAAGTAGAAAGAAGGAAAGAAAAAAAACCCAAACACGTATATTTCACAATAGACCCTCCTCCACATGGGAAGCCATTCCAGAACAGCTAATTCTAATTCAAATATCCCAGTATTGCTAAGACCCAAGAAAGCAATGCTAAAATCAGCAGGGAAGAAGGCCAAAAAGGAAAACGTTTTTTTGTACCGTGAAGTAGGTCCCGGTGCCATGGCCCTAACGACCCATGCTCCCAAATAATTCACAGCAATTCCATTCATTCATAGTGCACTAATCCTACCCTAATAACTCTTCTTAGATACATAACCTTAATTTTTATTTAAAATAAATGGTATTTAAAAATAAGGACTCAAGAAAACAGCATCCCTGACACACCGAGTACACGGGCCTGTCCTTCTACCTAACCTTAGCTTCTTGGCCTTCTAATATCACACAGAATATATGCCTACATGCAGCCTCCTACAGAGTAGTACTGGATGGGAATTTCATCCACATGAAACAAGGCAGTTCTCTGAAGGGTTTCATTCTTCTGGCCTTCAAGTCCATTATATTTTTGGCCATTCTTCTGTAAATTCTAATTTACAACCCAGGTGGCTGCTTCTTTTTATTACTATATTAGCCCCCTCTGAACAACATACCAATCATAATATCCCACAAGACAATCTGAGCAGAGAGCAGAATCTACAGAAGCTGCTCAGTCTGACCTATACTGGTGCTGAAAATCATTTGTGTGTATCTGCTTTGCCAGATCTCTTTTCTGAATTATAAATTATGTAACTTGAAAGGTAATGCTACAAAAATTTTTAACAACATACAAGAATGCACAAGACTATCAGGGCAGGCAGCCTTCTGCATGTATGGAGCTCCAAGGGACCTCATCTCCCCTAAGTTCAGTTGTCAAAAGGCGAGATACCGAGTTGTCCAAGTTCTCCATGTCAATAGACGGAGACTGTCATCTCTAGTCGCTGAGAGAACGCCACTCTTTCCATCCGAAATAGGTATCTGAGTAGGAAATTGGACTCGATAGGTGCGCGTTTCTTCCTTATACAGGGAACCTAAAGCGAACTGCCTGAGTCAGCCTTCTAAAGTTAAATATCTGAAGTCAGGGGTATCTACTGAGAGCAGAAGTCTGCTGCTGTAGATGCAGAAGAAGGATATGGGCTATGTCAGGAAGAGTATGATAAGAATTAGAAGAGAGGAAAAAAACCAGCAACATAAATTGGGTCAGGAGACTGTTCAGCTATAATTTTAGCAATAACTAAAATTAAGAACACTGCTGTATGCAGTATCAGTCTGCAAGACAGGCTCACACAACCTAACCATCAAATACTTCCCCACAGAAAGATCTCTAGAGAAATTTTTGATCCGGTTAAGATTTTTTTTTTTTTTCCCCCAGCACGGAAGTTCGGGTATCTTGAAAAGTAACAGAAACGGGCAAATGCCCCTTAATCAAGACCAACGCTTGGATTTTCACCCCCCCAAAGGTGGTCAGGTATTAACGCCAATTCTCTAATTAAACACTGAAAAGAGGTCGCGACGGCCAGCAAAACCAAGGCTTTTCTTCCGCACCCAGAACCAGAGGCCGCGGTTCGAGGGGGCAGGGGGGACGGAGGGACAGACAGACAGACAGACAGACACACACCACCACCACCGCCCCCCCCCGCTGCAGGAGCGGAGCTGCCCGGCGTGTCTGAAGGAGATAAGGGGCCCAAAGCGCAGCAGAAACAAACAACCGGGAGGCTGGGGGGGGGACACGGGGACGCACGGACGGGAGCAGAAGGACCGGAGCGAGAGGGAAATAACTCGGTCAGAGAGGCGGGGGTCGCCGGCAGCAGCCCGGCTGCCCCAAGGCCTCCTCACGGCCTGCGGGCATCGGGGCCGGGCCCGTCCCGGCCGCCGGTGTCCCCCCACCGCCGCCTTTGCCGGCCCTCCCCGACCCAGGGCAAAGCGGAGAGGAGGGGGGCTGTTCGCGGAGCTGTGACCGGCGCTGCCCGCTCCCTCCCAGCCCCCG